GTAAATCTGTGGCTCGGGAAAGCAACGGAATCGATTCGTCGGCCAAAAACGCATCCGAGAACAATCTGTACCGAGGACCAAGCGGAATCTCAACTTTGCATTTAACCGTTTCTCGATGACTTTAAAAGCCAGGAATGGATCCTCTCCTTAGATCGTCTGGAGCAGCTATCTAAGGAGGAAATTTTTCCTAGCGACAATAGCCGATCGGGGACGAGGACGACTGAACGCGCAGCATCACATTTGTCAGCTCGTCAGAAAAGGGAACCGTAAATCGTTTAACGGAAGCGTGGGTGGATCAAAGGCCGAAAAACGCGGGGGAAGCGAGGAAGGAAACTCGATATTTCAACAAAGAAGTCGAACGCGAACGGTACGGGAGATATCTCCTTGAAAGAATTCGTCTGACCGGAACTGCAGCAAGCGAGAACGAGCTACCCTGAAGACTAGCTGCCTTCAGGCGATGATACAGATTTTCATCGGAGGAAGTCATTGCACTTTATGCTGAATGGGCACCGAGTCAACAACCCGATGCCCGTCTACGTGTATGTACACACTTTTAAACGTTCCTCTCTCCTCTTCCTGCTTTTTCGCGTGTTCGCAAGAACAGTTGAAAAACGAGGGGAAAGACGGGAGGAACATAGACGATGATGAAGAAGAAGAAGAAGAAGAGGCAGAATAAGGAGGTGGTGCAAGTGGAGGAGGAAGGGTCAAAGTAGTAGACGAAGAGAAGAAGGGGAGAAAAAAAAGGGGGAGGAGAGACGAGGAGGTCTGGGAATCGCTTCATGCACCGACGAGCACGAGTGTTCGCGTAATAACGCGATCAGAGGGCAGCCATGTCTCATGCGTGCATAGTGCACGCACTTGGTCGTACCGTCACATATGCTCGTGTTCCGAGGCAAGCACGCGTGCATAAACGTCGGTAAGCAAGCGCACAGAGCGTTCTATTTTTATGTGTGTTACGTTTCGAAGCGGAACGGCTATAACGAAAATATTTCGCATCGCTACAAAGAGGAGAATCTACTTTTGATCGAGCTGAAAGTTTGAAGAAAACGGACGATAGAGTCGGTGTAGAATTCGCGAGACTCTGAAAATCAGATCGGCCGAAACATGCGACAGCCGTCTATTCGAGCGGGGGTTGGATACGTCGCGTGTCTGAACGGGCGACGTCCTCGATGGAAAAACGTCGGTACAGAAACAGCAGCAGACGAAAGCCACCGCGTGTTAATTAATACGAGAAGCTTGGAATCCAGTTTGACGCATAATGCGGCACTAATTGCGGAAGGGAAAACGCACGACGAGAAATAAAAAAAGAAAAAAAAAAAAGGAAAGGAAAAAAATATAACGAATTCGTTGGCGAAACGCAACCCCCGTCGTCGCGTTTGCAATTTTTTTTCCTTCCTTCTCTCTCTCCTCCCTTATCCTCTCGTTTCTTCGTGATGTCGCGCGAGCGCACGCTCGATGCATGCTTTGTGGCGACACATTTTGCGTTTTCATCGAGGCGTGCGGAAACGAAAAGGTAGAATGAACGTGGAACGAAGAAAGAGATTATTACAGGAGCGAACGGCAGAGAGTTCAAGCTGCACCTGTGCACACGACGGTTCGTTCGTCGCGTGGAAAATGCAGCCACCGATCCCTCTACCCTCTCCGCCATATAGCTTGGGAACAATGCTTGCCTACGATGGCTACCATTTCCCGTAAGAGAGGAGGAACACCGCGTACAGGGACGTAGAGAGAAGAAGAAGAAGAAGAAGGTGGAAAACGAGTTGGACGACCCGAGAGCAACTTGTACACCGCATTTTCTCCCCTTTCATTTGCCATTTCCTCCCCTTTTTTTTCCTTTTTTTTTTCCACCAACGGAATCTTGTACGCACGAGTGTACGACTTAAACGACCCGTTGCTAGACTTTCCTTACGCGAAAAATCACCGCGAAACGTGCGAAAACGCGAATGTTTCGTTAACCGGTAGTTTACACCGGCCTTCCGGCGAGAGAACGTTGCGCTTCGATTCCTCGAATGAATCTAGAATCGTGATGTCGATTCCCTTGGGGAGAAAAAGATCTTCCACTTGGAAATAAACGTTTCGAGGTACAAGGCAAAACACGTTCGCAATTTATTGAAATTGTTCAACCGTTTGAGGTACGGATGATTCTTTCGTGAAACGATAGGATTAGTGGCATTAACGCGGCGTGGAATCGTCCGAATTTCGAGTAGGATATTGTCAGGAAACATTCAAGGCGGCGGCGTGTCATTGACGTAACAGAAAATTTCTGAATGTCGGGGAAATAACGGTTTCGTAACGAAAGCCGTTCTGATGCATTTGCCGATAGAACGTTCGGACAGGTAGCCTCTGTAACCTGCATAAATATGAATATGTGCCGAGATGCCTGTATATCGTCCGTTCTATTTTCTGAATAGGATTCCAAGTAGATGTCGAGAACTTGTCACTGGGTGATTTATACGTTTGTCCGTGCCGGAGGACTAGGTCGTTCTCCATTCCCCTACTGCTTCCTCCTCTCTTAAGCCTGTCAGTTCGTACCGAGCCATTCCAATATGAAAAGGGGGGCCTTTTTCAACCAGTAAAATACAGAGAAGAATATGACTAAAAAAAAAAAAAAAATTTCTATGTCCTACAGAGACTAGATATTCGAGGATAAAAGCCTAGAAGCCAAGGTTACCACCAGACGTTCGATCGCTTTTAAAGGTAATTTTGCAACAGGATACCGATCCTTTTGATTTACGAAGCTATAAGGAAGATAATTACAAAGTACAAGTTTCTATAAGAAAAAGATAACGAAGGATAGATGGGATATACGTTAAAAATACGAACGGGTGTGTTCGCAAATGAGCTCTTGACAATGACGCAAGCACGAAAAGTGACACGTCTATTTTTTTCCTCCGGGCATGCTCTAAATAAAAAGAATGAAAGAAAAGAAGAATAACAGTTTGAGAAACGGCACTTTGATTGCCACTGGAAGCGAACGCATTAACGAGATTGAAAATCGTAAACGTTTACGGTTTGCCAAGTGCCGTGGTCGAAAAGGAAATAAACGTCGCATTGTAAATATTTTATATTGCAACACGTACTCGTGATAATTTACGATTAGCTTTAGCTATAATTAACACGTTAACGCGTTTAATAGCATCGCAGGAAAGAGGATTCTAAATGCAATGAATATTTTACTTAATGAGATGAAGTAACAAATAGAACGATTAATAATCAATGGAACAATCAACGCTGAGGGTGTATTTTTAGATGAAAAATAATTTTAATTAAAAAAGTCACTAAACGAAAGGAGAGACATCTTTTTACCACGGCGTTCGACGTGTTAACCCTTAACCCTTTATTGATCCTTTTCAGTCGAGTGGCAAGCTATACTCGTTAAAGCGTTTTTTATCTTTTCGATCGATTTGCAAATTGCTCTCGAGCTGAAGCTTCGAAAACTAAATCTTTTTTCCAATACTAACTCGAACCTCTTTAAATTGATACGACTTAAGTGTTATTTTTCGACACTTTTGTGTCATCAATTCTTATCAGACCCTTAACCTTTCAAAATCGGTCATTTGACTAAAGAACTTTTTACTCCTTTCGACAAATAAACTTTTTCCAACGACCTGCAACGAACGAATGAACAATATACCGGTAATCTCATGAATATAACCAGGAAAATCGCAGAGGAAACTATTCCGTCCATGGTATTGTCACTCCTTTAACTGCTCCGCCCCTCGATACAGAAATCAGGCTTCGCTCGAGTGAAACGCGACTTCAAAAGCGAAGGAAAGGAAGGAAGTCTGTCCAAGAAGCCGTACAAGAGGGGTTGCTCTCTGTACTGTCGGTGGTTGGACCCGCTCGTTAGCATCAGCTGCACTGTGGCTCCTTAAAAATAAACCTCTTCCTAGTCGCTGGTACAATCGCTAAATTAACGCCGCCAGCTACGCCCCCTTCACGTGGCAAAATCATCTTCTACGGGGAACTTTAAATACCCAACCATCTCTATCTAGAAACCACTATGGATACCTCGAGTTCCGGTAGGCGACACGCGACGAAAGTGTACCGCGTTCTCGACACTGCCAAAGAGAAGGATACAACCGTTTGCGAAACTGTTACACCGGTCTTACAACCTTGAGGCTCATGTTTACGCGTGTAACCCGAAATATGTATTACGACAGCCATAAGAAGAAAATATTTATGTAAATTTCCATTCGTCTAAGACAACTCGAGCTTTATGATTTAATCGATTTAAAAGAATCGTCATCGGTTCAGGCTTAATTTGAATCCGGACGAAACTTGCAGCGCAAGATTAGAACGCGTAAGCTGGCCTCAATTACTTTCACAATTTACGAGTGCGTAAGTGATTTATTTGTCGTTGTGCCGAAATATACTCGAAGGTGAGCCAACAGCTAAGACATTCTTTCGATAATCCATTAAAATCATCCCAAGTCTGGTCCAAGAACAACAACACCGAAGTTCTATTACGCTCTAATAATTTCCCGATTCACGGAATAATCCTTCGATCGAGATACAATAAAATTGCTCAAGATTTTCTATATACTTCTGAGAATCCGCTGATAATGCGTTTTATCGCGCCACACTTCGAAATTATCTAATTTACTAATTGATATAAGAAAACAATTAACACTGGCTATAGATATCGCACAAGTGCTCTGTTATCTTTTTCAGTTAAGCCTTTAACTAATCTCAAATCTACAGTTGCCTCCCTCCATCAGCAGTATAAATCATTGACTCGCATAAAAAATAAATCTTCTCTAAATAGATATAGCGTGCGAGTTTTCTAATCTCCTTCACCCTTTCATACTTCAAACAACTTCAACTCTACTGAAACTTCCTATAGCTTCACAATTCCACAGACAGGTATTACTCCATCTTGCTCTGTGCAAATCCTCAAGAGATTCGGTCCATATTTCTCAGACAGTATGAACATTCGCAATTCTTCTGTCCGTCTTCGTTTCGTCGAATCAAAGAATCAGAATAAAGTCGTGACTTACCTGTACATCAAAGTGAGTGGTTGTGTCTTGAGGCTGAGGGGGTCCCTGTTGCTGTTGCTGTTGCTGCGATGGCGGAGGACCCTGCGGGGGCGGAGGTGCCTGTGCACCAAAGAGCTGGGCGGCATGAGAATGCGGATGCTGAAGATGATGCGTTGGTGGTGCCTGATGATGTTGCAAATGATGAGGCGGCGCCGGGGCGAAAGCAGCCATGAAATGTTCCTCGCTTCCGACCACGTCGACCCCGGGTTTTAGCAGCACGACCCCGCCACCGCCAGCGCTCACAGCCAGGGTCGCTGCTGCATTCTTTTGGAACTCTTCTTCGCCTGGCGAGGGTTGACGACTACCTGGCGTACGACTGGAACGAAGAATGAAATAAATAAATTATTACTGATTCAATAGAAATGATGTGACGCTTCCCGTAAACGCTTCCCATACTTCACTTTCATGCATTTCGCCGATTCGTTTCAATCGAAAGCAGCTTACGAGAAAGTATAAACTGCTTCAACAGCTGCACTTTTCAAAACAGAGAAGGTACATAAATCATTCATGACTTAACGATGATGTTACGAGCATTTAAAAAAAAAAAGATTCCTTCTGACCTGATATTTATGATACGATAAAGCTACCGAGGTAGCATCGTTTCAACGAGTTCGTAATAGAATCAACATTGTCTCATAAAGCGTGATAATTAACTCTCTGATCCTAATTAGTTGATACAGTTATTATTTATATATCTAGTAAATATATGTTTAGCTTTAAGGCTGTGTTGAGAAATATTTTATTCTACCTTCTGAATATTTCATTCTACATTGTTATATTAAGAACAGGGTTGCGTGTAATTCCAACACGATTACCTGCTTATCTTTATCACAATGAAATACTTTGTATGGTTATCTATTACTTAGAATAATAATCTAGCAACCGATGGCTTGAATAATTTTATTTAATAAGCATCTAAAACCTGTCGTGCAAGATTCCTCGAGTACGTGATTAAAAAACCTTGTATAACGGTATGTTTTACATAACTACAGTGTAATATAATCCAATGTTCGGGTTAATAGACGTATACCTCTGATTTTGCAGAAAATAAAAAATGAAGTGTGATGTCTAAAACCATGAAGATCAATACTGATGAACAAACATCGTTACCATAATGGAATTCTTAAGCAGAAACAACAGGTTATACGACTTTGAACGTCTTATTTCGCTTTATTTACTCAAGTTTGTTAACCCAAGCGTGGTTAACGCGTTTAATTTTTACATAAGAAGCCTGAGAAACTAAACGTCGCTAACAATTGTATTGTGGGATGCAGGAGAAGGCTCAATATCATGAATCAGTTTTGAGAATAATATCTCTAAACATTACAAAAGGAAATTTTCTTTTTTAATGTATAGTGTAGTTGCTGTAAAAATGTCTATAATGTTTAAAAGTTTAACATTTTCCTTTTGTAAAATAAATTTTATTTATAGTCTTTTCAATGTATACTGTTGGAGGGTGAATGAAATGATTATTGTTATTAGAAAAGAGAGAAAGTATTGTATAGTGTCGGTAATGTAGTGTTTGAGGAAAGGAGTAAACGAAACACCAGATGGCGTACGAGTACGGTACAACAAGCATCCGAATAGGTAAGGCTTATGATGTCATCGTCCGCGGGTAGAACATCTACGCCCTTGACAGTTAGCATTATTGCGTTTCTCGATCGCCTTGCTTTACAGCAATGACAATTGTTCGAGAACAACATACTGTCATTCAATCGAAAGCAATTATACATAGTTACGCAAAAACAACAGACTCATCCCTTCCTCAGCCATTAATGGTGCAAGGTTCAATTAAAATAATAATCTTATGTTGTTTGTATTATAGTAACACGAATGACAATACTTTTGCATAAGATTTGCGAATCTTTGAAAAAATAATCCGTAGTCTAACGATTATATTATACGGACACTTACTTGAATCCTTTGTCGTCGTCGAGACCATTTTGAGACGCTAATCCGTTGTTCTGTGGTCCTGTATCGTCTTTAGAACTGTCGAAAGGACTTGCCGAGCCCTTCTCTTTTTCCTTCTTATCTGAATCGGTGTTCTGTTATGAATACATAAGAGGTCAACAAAATCATTCGTCCCTATAATTATAGCGTTTCACTGTTTGTTTATATTTACCAATCTCAAAGAAACCATTCTGGGTTCCAAATCTTTAGGTGTCGTAGGACTTGATCCAAGGACGTACTCGACCATTTTAACCCCCAGACCGCCAGTTTCGCTGGAAAATAAATAAACGATACAGATAAATATAGATACCGCGTATTCCAGTGTCCCATATTGTTTTCTTAAGACACACTAACCTGCTTCTAGGGCTGAGGACTGTCCCAACTTCAGATGTTTGATGGTGATAACCAGTCCCAACACCCACACGTCTACCTGTGCCCATGGATATTGGTTGTGAAACGGCATGATCTGGAACGAATCAAAAAATTCATTAATCATGACGAGTAAATGATAAAAGAGAAAACAAATTAAATCATGTGACGTGTGGCAGTCATGTGATAATGATTAAAGTTTCACTGACGCGGTGAAGAGAAACATGTGCAAAACATATTGCACCTCTAATTAAAAATACGCTCCTATTCCCATCTTTCCCTTACCGATTAAGGGTACAATATAAAATGAAAATTCTAGATTCTCAACTACCTTTTCCAGCTTAAAAGAAAGCCCAATAGTCATAGAAAACGTAACTAATATATCTCGAAACCGTATCGCGTTCGTGTCGCATAAATCGATAAAAGACACAGGCTGAGAAACCCGCAAAGGTGCAAATGCAAATTCTATCATGAAAAATCCTTAACGGGTTGGAGGGGTTTTGGTCTTCTCGATACACGATTCTCTATGAATTTTCATTTCGTCGCTGATATTTCAAACGAACGGATTTTTATCGACCGATACGGCATTTCTCGAGTATTCGAGGGAATCGTATGAATTTTACCATTTCATATGACGCAATTTCAACACGGGTCCAGGTGGTGGACAAGAGAGCAAGGTGAAGGGAAGGATGGAAGAAGAGGGAGAGAGGTTGGCGTGTCGACGTTCAGGGTGGATCAGTAGGTACGACCCTGGGCATTGGGACGTTGCCCCCACCGCCGCCTGATGCCGGGCGTCTGTCGCCATGGCAACAGCCGCGTTGCACCCATCGAGGTGACGCACACATGGAAACGTTGCCCGCGTGTATATATAAAAGCCGGTACACGCCGTAGCGAGAATCAGGTGTTTCGTGCATACAACTGCACAACACACTGCCGAGCTACGGTTAAGTAGCATCGCCCTCGCGCTACAACCCCCTACCGCAATACTTAACCCTTTCCAATGATAAACCCATAGATGTGTTAAAAAAAAAAAAAAAAAATTCATAATAAAATGGAAGATTTATTACGAGTAAATTGCAAAATTTTTTTCAGACTAAAATTCCGAGTAGATCAAACGCTACCTTTCGAATAGCCAGCCGAGCCATCCGCCTTTCCAGGGTTAATGAGAAAGTACCTCGCGCGACAATTTCAACCCTCCACCCCTTTTTTATCGATTACAACGCTTAATCCGTTTAGTAGAAGCGAAATTCTGGAGATTTCCAGCACGATAAGGGACACGATTGCTATCGAACGAAACGATAGCAAAGGTTCGCGGTTCGGCTTGAAAATACATTAGAAGACGCGGTACGTCGATTGATCCGTATGGCAAAAGGGGTAACTTGACGGTTTTCCTAAATGCAAACACCGAGAAAGAGAGAAAGAGATATATGTTTTGGTACAGTATCGATTATTGACATTCAGCTCGAAGCTGCAGAGACACAAGTATCTCTAACTTTACTGTCTAAGTATATAGAGGGTGTTCCAGCAAACTTCGTCACCGCATTCAAAACATTATTCCAAGTGGAGAATGTTATATCAGATACTGTCAAACGTATGAATGTTTTAACTCGAGTTAGGCATTCAAATGCTTTCCATTCAAGTACACTGATTTCATACAACCGGCGAACAAAAATATAAGGAAAACATATGAATTACCTGTATTAATCAGGGGAACGGTACTTTGGATCCATATTTCGAAAACGAAGCTCTTAAGTGATCTATTATTTTTGATTTCGTCGAAGTTTGTATGTTTTGTCGCAGAACACCCTGTATATATACATATTGTTCTTTCGGCGCTGTACCCAATCAATAAACGCGCACGACGTAAAACACACGTTGTATCGCTCTCGCATTTCGTAGCCTCCCCTATCAAGAACTGACGACGTACAAAGGAGCACCGGTTTAAAGTTCGGCTTTTTATATGATTCACCTTTCCCTCTAATTTTATCAGGATAAAACACGTTATCGAGCGTTCAAGGAATTCAACGTCAGCCCGAAGGATCCGAAAGCACCGACTGCGCATTTAGCTGCAACGGAAGAAAAAGGACGCTAGGTACTAATCGAAATCAGCTCGTTAACGCGTTCACTGCCGCATCGTAATTAATAAAATTCATTGATACTTAAATTTAACCTATCGCAATTATCTACCATACATTGTCAGCGTAATAGCAATGTTATTCAACTCTTATCTCTTAAATAATTATTTTGACTGTAGTTGACGCGTTAATGGTTCGCGGATAATTTATCACTGTAACCAACTGTTATCTACATGATGTACTTGAAGAAAACAAAGTGCACCCGAGAAATGCATGGTTGAAAGTTTCGTATAAAAAAGAAGCGCCTTACAAATTGTAGCTGCTGCCGGGTTTATCGCGAAATCAAATGTATTCATGCCAGGAGAACTCACGCAAACCCGATTACGTTTCTTTCCCTGACAACAGCATGGAACAGGCTTTCTTTCCAGAAGAAATTAACGCCGTTCGATGCAACTGGCTTACCCTGCAGATTATATAACGATCAGCCACGAGTGGCCGGTCGACTAAAACGCATATCGATCAGTCTACCCTTAAATTCGTATCTCGAGAAGAAAATGGTGTGTACGAGCGATAGGTATTTCGAGGGGTTTCAAGGGTTTTTTCGAAGGGCTATCTCGGACGAATACGTGGATCGTTGGATTAGGCTGCTTCTTTATGCAAGGCACGCTCGGCTCGAGCTAGGCTAACCATTCAGACTCTGGCTGAACAAAAGCCACGGATAGCTCTTTCTTAATGGGCAACAATTAATGAACGCGATAAAAGATATCAGCTTTTCTATCGGTAACGATATCAGAAGGTTAAAAGTTAAATTTCCCTTAGACAATTGAAGAAAAAAAACAAAAAAAACGAAATTGAAACTGCAAAGGGTTGACGCTCAGCATCGATGGATTATCGATCCCGATTAACCCCGTTTATGGATAAACCCTGGCTCGAAGCCCTATTCCAAATATTCCGAGCCCTATTGTCCGTGATGCGTGTCAGTACGCTCGATAGCACGATGCAGTTGTGTACTTCGCTACGGGTTAATCAATGAGCCAAGTGTTCTCGCTATCGTGTCATTCAAAACGATAAGTGTAACAATACCGAATACAAGTTTGCGCGTACTAGGCATTTCTCGAAAGTCCCCTTCGGTGGTGTCTCGGCTAGAAAATTGAAGACTTTCAAGAATCGTATTTCTGCTTAATTGTAAAAGTTCCAACGGTGTTCGGTCTCGCGAACAGGATACATCTAGATTAGAAAGGTAGAATCCTACCTGAGGTGCTCCAGGTAGAATCTCGCCACATCTGGTGGTCGCCCAGGTGAAGTATCCCACCACCTTTTACACCCCCTTCGTCCTTGGAGCCACCCTCGTCCACGCCCCAGAGCTTTTTTGCCGAGGGAGCGAGCTGAAACAATATGAGAAAACGGGTCGTAAGTACACGGGGTCAGTGAACACATTTCAGATCCAGCACGTGCTGACACGAAACTCCCAAGAGCTCGTGTGCCTCGTCTACCGAAAGATACGAATGCCAACGATCGTATTAATTACACTAACGAACCGCGGATCCGCTTAAAATTAGCGTATCCAGCGTGTTTAATGCGAGTGCACATGCACCATTCTTTAATTCGTCGAATTAGAAGCATCAAGTACCTCTTATTTTTCAACATTTATATTCTTTTTATCTTATCGATGTTTCGTTCGATAGATCCGCTAAAGGTTTGATTTTCTATCATCGATACGTGAATATAAAGACCGTTCCTTCTCTGTTGGCAAGTTCGACGGTTAAGCGCAATGTTTGGCGCGAAAAGAGGATTCTACAGGCGTAGAGATCGGAATCGAAAACAGGAGTCGAGTCGTAACGTTTCATCGTGACCTGAACTCCGCTGCACTGGTCCCGACCTCGCCTAACTAGAGGTCAGTGACGTAACCAGCAGAGGTGGGGATGGCAGGGAAGCGTCCGCAGATTGCGGGATCCTAGATCCAGGTATACTGCACACTACTGGTGACAGTGCAACGGAGCTGAACATAGCCGATAAGCTTTTATTTTTATTTTCAATCTCGCGAATCTCCTCGAATTATCAAAAACCTTTGAAACAATCGCTTCAAGATGCGTTTAGCGGATCCGACTGCAAGCAGTGTATAGTCCGTAAAACGATATTCCAAGGATCGCGTATTTACGCGCGATATAACGTCACCGCATCGTCGACCACTTGCGGGTCGATCTTACGATCTGACATTATTTAATCGATTATTAAGAGACGAAGGGGAAAAGAAATATGCAAGATTTTGCATCGATTCGGCGAAGATGAACAACGTGTCCCGAACTACGCGTGATGTATTTATATTTTATCGATTACACGAACGTGGTATCGCGTACAATAGCACGTGCGTCATGCAGCGAGGCAGATATATTCGCCTCGAACACACATCAGCCACGAAATATCAAACGACGCTGTTTATCGCTTACAACATATCACCGAACGCGTTAATTATGTCTTAAACTGTAAAACAAATAATTGTTCTTAACAAATTAACTCAATGGATACTCTGTCTTTTCTACATAAATTCTTTGTTACATGTACAGCTGGCTTTTCGATAAAATTCCCTGGCAAGGCTGCTGCGTCTTTTCGCCTAGATCGACAAATCGGACGATAACAAGGAACACATAGAAGAAGAAAAAAAAAAAAAAAAAAAAGGAAAATATCGAACGGGTCACACGGGTTTAGAAACCGGTTAGAAATCCCACGGGGGGAGAAAACGTTGTACGAAAAAGTGCAACGTTCACGATTCCCGTGTATCAAATTGGAAAGCAAATCTTCGTTTGCATCACATCGTACGACACATCTTTTTTTCTTTTTTCTAATCTGCATCTCGTTCCGTTTTAACGAATCAGTAAACGATTGTCGCTTTACTAACGCAACTTCGATTTATATTCGTAATATATCTTAACAGGCGCGCTGCGGGCGCCACGGATCTGCGTCATATGCATATAAATATATATTAATATTAATAGTATTATTTTTAATATTTCATTCACCCAGCGAATGTCCAACGGCCCTCAATTTGCAGCGCGTTAAAGCATGCGAGTTCTACTCTCGAGTGAACACCTACCCTTGGAAAGATAGCGCGCTCTCGAAAGCATCCAGATGAAGGGCGCCCCGGGCAAAGGGCTGAAGAAGGTAACTTGATTCATTTTTGAGAAAACGTACTCGGGCTTAGCTGGGTACTTTGGTGATTCTCTGCTGCACCGAATGTGCAGTAGATACCAAGAGTCGGGTGGTTCCTTTACGTATAAGAACGGAATGAAAAACGGAGTGGAACGGTGAACGAAAGGTTTAGGAAGGTAAGGGTAAGGGTAAGGGTAAGGCTCGGTCAACCGGGGGCGATACGCCGTGAGTATCGACCGCGTCGCCGGCCGGCAGAGACGCTTTTACACGTTAAGCACGGTTACAGGGTGGAAAGAGACGGAAAAGAGTCGAAAAGCGAACGTACGAGAGAGAAGGCTCATCGCGAATTTCTAAAAAGGGAGCTCGATTCCACGGATAAACTCGATAGAAATATCCCCTTGCATTGTTTCTGTCTGGTAGTAAACGAAAGTACGAACGCGGTTGGTAATTATAGAAGAAAGAAGGAAAAATGTTACCTTCCATTCATTCGGTCTGTTCGTTAGCGATACCGAACAGTTTCGACCCTTGAAACCGTGGAGGAAAAAACTTTTTGCGCGTTCAGTGAAGAAGAAAAAATAAAAAACGACGGATAAAAACAGAAGGAAGGAAAGAACAAAAAGCCATAGAAATGCACCGTGATCGTCTCGCGGTTCATTAGACCAGGAGGATGATGTCTTTCTATCCCTTCGAATCGGCCAACAGCAGAAGCACTCTGGAACGTTGGTCGCGGCAACGACTCTACTAGGGGAGGAAAAGAGAGACGAAAAACGAAGGTGAGCGAGCGAGAGGAACTGCTCTACACATCGAACGATGGAAAAAGAACAAATAAACAGAGAACGAGACGAGACGAGACCCAAGAGTACTGGATCTCTCTTTCATTGAACAAAGCTGGAGATAGCTTGCTAAGCCGTACCCCACCAGACGGTCCTGACTCCCTCTACTGCCGTTCCGTTCCGTACACCGTTCTCTCCCGACTCAGCGGCGCACACCCACGAGGTTCTCCCACCGCTCGACGACGCTCGAGCGTCGAGCGGCAGCGTGGACGTCGCCGCTAAACTGCCACGGGGGCCACCGACCCCTCCCCAGGCCCCTCGGCCGCGGGTCACGGCCACTGTCCTCGCGAAGAATCAGCAGCAGCAGCAGCAGCAGCAGCAGCAGCACGAGGGAGGCGAATCCTGTTGTTCTCTCTTTCTCTGAATATCATCTAGCTTTCTGTCTCTACCGTGCGTGTTGGATGCGTTCGCGTGCGCATGCGTCAGTTAGATGCGCGCGCATCCATACGTACTAGGGAAAATCAGCTAGGGGTGGTTTGTTTTTTTGCTATTACGATTTCACTTTTTTTTTTCTTCATTCGAACGATATTATACCTACTACGACTACGCATCGAGAGATTAAAGCTACCGAATCGTTTATCCTGCATCTAGAATCGTAAAACGCAATGTAAATATTTGCTCTTTGATGCGGACAAAATATCGCTGAATTAGACGTTCAGAGGTTAGAATTACTGGCGCATTCACAGAGCAATTAACGGATGTAACTAGTTCACTCGAAAGGACATGGTTAAAATGGAGTTTATGCATTGATGAATATTCTCGTATCCAAAAGCACGTATTAGAGATCCGAAACGGATGCGATGCATAACTGCGATGGGATGAGAGAGTGAAATATATGTAAACCCACGTTTTGGTCTTGTAGCATAGCCGAACGCAGTTGCGACCGCGCGGAAAGACGCGTGGAAATGAATTTCTCCCAACACTACACGCATACACATTGGTTGTTCTCGATGACGAATCTGCAAGCGTAACCAATGCGTTTAGGTTCAACGACATGCGCGTCACGTCACTACAAGTCACGACGCGATACGTCACTTTACGACATAAACGACAGAATACGATACGAGGTGACCGACGCACGTTTCTACGATCACAAGGAAACACCATAAAAGTTCATATCTGACACTACTCCTAAACGACATCTGCCACCGTGTTACGAATTTTTGCGATACGCTTTTCGATAGCCAGAACTATCTCTGCCAACCCCTCGATCCCGGGGTAGAGCTCGATTTTAATATAAAAATCGTACCACGATTTCGAATAAGCTTCAACTTCCATCGGGTGAAAGTACAGAATGAGAGAAACCGATTACACGATACGGAACGATTACACCGACTGTTAGCGGAAAAACTATCGAGAGTAATTCGCCCGTAAGACGCGGAACACCATAAAATCAACTTTTTCGTGAACAGAGAAAAGAAAGGTATAAAACAGATACGTTTGACAAGTTGAAATAAAGGAAAAACAATCGATACATGGAAACATCCCTTATGCATTATTTCTAAATAATAATGAGAACGCAAGTTGGTTCGCTTCGAGGCTCCAATCACCGAGAAACTATCGATTATCGATACCGCTTTGCGTAAGTTCACTGACATATAAGCCGATGTCAATAAACATTCCTTTTAGCACCGCGCAAATCATCAATCTTTTTTTTTTTTAACCCTTCGAAGAGGGTTAATGTTCTATCGCACAATATCGCAAAGGTGTTTCTTTGGAGGCTGACGTCAGCCGAGAAACCGGAAACTGGTTTCGCTCTTCTTTTATCGCGAATAGAATACGATAACGCGGTCGCGTAGGAGTAGTTTCTTAGCAGTTCCCTTGTGTCTTAACCGGTCGCCTTAGCCCAACCATAATGTTGGCCGTGATTCAAGACCGAATATCTTTCCCGGCGCTTGTTTACTTTTTCCACGAGAATTTCAAGCCTTTTAGATGGAAATATCGTGTCTAGACGAAACACAACCGTGGAACGCAATCTGGATCAACGGCTACGGCTCGAAGATAAAAAAAAAAAAAAAAAAAAAAAACAACGAAGAAATAAGATGAACCCGTGGTTGAATATTCCGAAGGTCCCTCTAACGAGAACGCTGGAAGTGCGCGACGATAAGAATTATGAAAGTAACATAATCGAAGAGCGAGCACTGATCTTGTGTAACGATTATCGCGAAGAGGCCTGCGAACCCGTGGGCGACTTAACTGCATAACTATTCCTAACCATCTGTTATTCTGTCCAGCCGAGAGAAGAGAAAGTTCCTTGCAACCAAGTGACAAGCCAACATTTTTCATTCTTATGTTCAAATTGAAAATAACCACTCTCCTCTGTGGTACGAACTGTACCGATCCCGGTGCATCGAGTACCACAGGGATCCGTCTGCTTGTAAGCACTGCAACGCGAATTACCAAGCTAATTGGAACACATTTTCTGGCAAGTAAGGTCAGACCTGAACACCTCGAAGCAACTAGAAGAGATAGAGTGACTCACGGGAATCAATATCCCTCCAAGCACATTTGCCGTTTATACAATATTGGCGCAAGAGTACCGCGCGCGGTGTTGTACAGTGCATCTGGTTCGTGTATAAATATATTTATCTCCTTACGATTTTATCGATACCAGGATCGATACGCAAATACGTCACCTTACGGCAAATGCTTGTTCGAACGAGCGTGCTTTCGCTGTTGATTCAAATGAAATATTTTCCGACAAATATTTACCATGAAATTCAAGGACGTTGTATAATAGAATAGACGAGGATATAATTTTTTAATTCGTCGTTGATTAAAAATAATTAAAGCTAAAGAATACGACGAATGAAACGATGTACATATTTATAGGATGAACGATACGAAAATGTTTTCATTCAGTTTTTCGGCTCACGCACCGTTTCGCGTGTGTCACGGTTGTCCAGAGAGGACCCTGACAGTGTTTCAATCGATTAGGTGTGCGCCAGAAGGGGGAACCCACGAGCAAGGGGGAAGGCATGCAAAATATAAAGCCGTATAAATTTAAATGGCACCGGTCCAAACGCGATACACCGTGGTCGAAAATGAAACGATGAAAAAATATATACACGTAATCTTTACGGCCGTGAATGATTGATAATTATAAGAAGAAAGAAAAAAAAAAAATTCTTCCCAGATAACGAACACGTAATATCGTTCTTACACGCTTCCACACCGAGAAGCATTCTTATAATCCGTGCGAAAGTACATTAACCTAAAACAACGCGAACGTTCTCTCCTGTAACTCTGGCATTACTTGCTTGTTGCTTACGTATCAAAGCAAGACAGAGGATATACAGTATGTCCGGTTCAAGTGTATACACCCTATTATTTCGTTAATTATTCAAAATACGAATAAATGTATCATACCATTTATGTCTGATTCGATGAGAGAAACTTCGTAGATTATCTGAATTTTTTTCTTAATTATCATTTATAGAGATAATAATATGAAACTGGCGAAATTGAGACTTAGAAATTTTTCCCTCCAACTAGCTCCTCTACTCCGATACGGTTACCAAGATCTATCCGGAAGGTCGGCGACGCACGGAACCTATGCTACGCTTTTGTTTATCAGTATAATCGTAACACCAACTCCAGGCGCTTCCACCACTCCTGTACAGAATTCGAGATAAACAATAAAGGAATGTCCGAAGAAACGGAACTGCAACAAGGATTCAACCTCTAGATACATATTTTTTCTATGGCCAAAGCGTGCCAGCAGCGCTCCAAGGATTCAAATCCGCAGCTGTCGTTTCGAGGAGGTTCTCCCTCCTGTCACGAAACTTTTTTTTTTTTTCTTTCTTTCTTTCCCCCCCCCCCCCTCACTACTCTTGCCGGAGACCGTATCGAATTACTTAATCGTGTTTTGCAACACGATCGATAGGAATTTCAACGTTTTGTCTAATTTCTTTTCGAAGAATCGCACGCATTGTTTAAAGAGCTCTCTCTCTCTCTCATCCTTTCGTTGCAAAGTATAATGCTAATGGTTCGTTGTTGCGTTTACAAGGTTAACCGAGTTCGGAGACCCGATTGGTTGAATAAGTATCAGACACCTTCTTATATTTTGCTCACGATTCGAATGATTCTTTAATGACTTTATTAGCATCGATATGTCATTCTGAAAAGCGCGGTAAACAAAAACAACCATCATTCTTGAGAGGCTATTTTTCTGATTACTTCGGATAATGAATAAAAAGTGCATAAAACGTCGAAATAAATCCTTCGAAATGATATATTTTTGCTTTAATGTCAAGGAAAGCTGTCAGAAACGGGATTTACTCGCTCGACGAAAATGTAAACAAACTATAATCTTGCATCCATTTGCGTTGCTTCATGGGTATGCCAAAAAATGTTTAAATGTAGGATTATTTTTGTCATCGGTAACGTCATTCTAAATTCAAAGATATACCAAAATACAACTCGGTTGAATTTTAATAAAAACAGATTCGTCATGTGTCAAATGAAAACGAGTTAAAATTCATTGACCCTCGCTACGATTTGTAATCGAAGTATATATATATATATATTTGTTTCTATAACAAGGTAAGAACTAAAATATGAAACGTTAATAAACATGTATACACTGAAATTCATAATTGGCCGTATCCAGTAGGTGTTAGATGACTAACGGGAAGGTATATAGAACATCTTCCTCGTAATAGACACCTCGCGAATCTGTCGGATATGTATATCGCGAGGAAAAGGTGTTAGAAAAATATTACACGAAACACGAGCCTCCCTCGAACTTTATAAACATGGAGGTTCCCGTTGTGGAGTAAAAAAATTGTCGAAACATAACCTATAAATTCACGAATGTTCGACGATCCGTTTCGATTCGTTATAAACGTGTCGGAAAAACGGGGTAAATTGAAGTTGAATAAATACCATGTCGGGCCCCAAATCCTTCATGTCGCAATAAAGAAAAAGATCCCGCGGTGGTTTCATCCAGTCGCCTGTGCTCGTGCCTGCTCCCTGGCCGTACCCTACACCGAAACTCTCCACCGTCTCCAAGGTACCCTCGGCACGGCGCGTCACCTCCGAGAGATTCACCGTTAACCCCGTGGTACACCGACAACTCGAACGAGAAATTGAACTGCACACACTGTTTTCCACGCACTATCCAGTAGTCGAGGCTATCTTGGAGGCGATCCGTTGAATACCGTGGAGGCGTTGTTAGGAAATCCAGTGAATCGTCGTACGTCAACTGCGGCGTCGGGGCGCGGACGCCGATTCAGCCGGCACTGAATACACACCACTCCCGGTTGTTTTCACGTTCGTTTTTCCTCTTCGAACGGCGGACAGACCTCTCGTGTACGGCACACCACACCGCCGCCGTTGTCGTCGAACAATACGAATCGCGTCACCGCAGACGATAGTGTGAGAGAGAAAGAAAAGCGTTCGACCGCCTGTCAAACAGTTCGACACCTCGGGTGCCTCGATGCTGCCACTGCTACCTATGCTCCTCTCTTCTTCCTCGTCCTCTTCCTCTTCCTCCTCTTCCTCCTCCGCCTCCACCGCCGCCGCCGCCACCGCCGCCGCCGCCGCCGCCGCCGCCACCGTCACCTCCACCACCTCCTTTCTCCTCTCGCGCACTTTGCACACTCACTCCGCGAATACGCGTTTATTTACAGGGGGAGCAAGTAGATTTACTCCGTTCTTGACTAAATCTCACGTCCGTCTTGGCATATCGCGAGACGCGTCGCGAAACCAGTGTTGAAATAACGCTAAGCGTCACGATGCTCTTTACTCGTGTCTCTCGTAGAATTATCGTTAACCGGCCTCTCTCTTCGATAGAGACTGTCCTCCTAACCGAAACAAAGAACGACGCTCGAACGGGATGCCCTCTACCGGCTACCTAACCAATCACAGTTTACTTTACGAACATCAACGACCAATCACCGTTCTCCTACCTTCCACCCGTTTAATTTAACGACCTCTCACGGCGATCGGATGAAAATTTGATCGCTTTAGTTAATTTACCTGGATTTAACTAAATATTAACGACTGAAATCGAAGAATAATTTTACATCGAACAAGAAATGCTTATATATCCTTTCGTATCGTTTCAACGATAAGAAACTAGTATCCAATAAAAATTACGAAATCATCAATTTTAAAAAACATTACAGGTCAATGTATAAATAATAAAAGTGTACCTTTTTCCAATTGTAATTTTTATTTCGATTAAGCTTTGAACTAGCCGAAGTTCATTGCCTCATGACCAGCTATAAATTCATCGCTTGTAATTTACTAAACCACCGAATTTCGGCCCTGACACAGTTTGCACGAATAGTCCATGAATCAACTGAACTTTCTATCTAACTCATTGTTAACTAATACTACGAGTGTCAATGACATCCCCGTAATTAGATACTCGAACAGGAATTAACTTTCTCATAGGTTCATACATGAATGTATCATTTTATAGCAAGTATTAACAACCTTGCGATAATTAAAATTGAAAAACACGCATACATGCGTGTGATATTTTTTTAGGCATTGATATATAAAATAGTTGTGTATATAACGGCACAGATATTAACACGTAGAAATAACAACGCGAACGATATTCTTTTCGTGTAATAGAAAAGATAAGCTTTACCCTTCTGTGAGAAGCATCCTCCATAACTTTGATTAATCTCGCTTACTTAGACGTAGGCGTGATTGTACCATTGGTATTGCAAGTTCTGACAACGTTTCCTCATAGACATTAAATACATCTACGGTGTGTCAATGCCTTGATAGAACGATTTATAACTTAACGATGAGTCGAAAATTTTTCATTTCGAAATTACTCAGTTTTAAAATAAAACAAATTAGAGTAAACGTTATCAGCAAAACGCATTAAGGAATATAATATTTAATTATGTATGTCTTGAAATAATCCAAGAATATCAAATATACTTTCTCTTTTACATTTGCATTTTTCGTGAATTTTATAGAAATCTAACGGGTTTAATGAATTGGGTGCGGTTGCAAAATATCTAAGTAAAGATACTACAAAGACACTTACCTGACCATTCCTGAACTGTTGCTGTTGTTGCTGTTGCTGATGATGAAATAGAGCAACCTGTTGCTGAGCTGTCATCTGATTATTGAGATAAATTAAATGTTCTGCTCCTGGTGCTCCACTCTGTATTAACACAACAAAGAAAAAAAAACTGTTAGTAATTACTAAATTAATTAACCTTCACATAATATTATTTGTTTATTACGATTAGATCTCAATTTTCTAACGTAAGTTCGTACTAATCATAACGTCAATTTGTAAGGTGCTACTCACTTTTAGTTGCATTGGGTGTATTTCATACGGTAGATGCACATTGTTCATAGTTTGTAGACCCAATTGTTGAGGTTGATTCTGCTGTGGCATACTCAATTTAGTAATAGGATATTTCCACTTCTCTGGATTCTATAAACCATTAAAGCTTAAGGTCAAATAACTGGAGTATACGCAAACTGAATAAGTATACTAATAAGTTTAAGTATTAGAACAGCAAAATCAAATCTTACTCCAATTCAAAATACATAAAATATAATTTTACATATTTAGTACACTTACATTATCAATAATAGCATCATCTGCAAGAGCCCATGCACGCGGGGCTTGTTTTGTTTGAAAAGCTGAAGACTGGGCATTAAATTCTGCTTCTGTAGGTCGTTGGAATACATAACCCACCATGGCATCATCTTGAGTTCTGCTTACACCTATCTGATGCGTTTGACCAGGTTGTATACGCATACTATCGCCACCAGCCATTACTTGTCCACATTGTTCTGCATCCTGTTGACAATGAAAAAATATGAAGTAAATAATAGTTTATACAATTAGCAATTTAAAAAGATGCAGCTTGCTTTAGAAATATATTGAGATTGTTTGATCCATTCTAATACCACAATACCCCTTTCAACATATATTTTATTTGAAGAAGCTCATTTTTTATATCCTCATTAAGTTCTTGATCTTTTTTATAGCATCAAGAAGGTAGCAACACATGCAACATTACTCTTATTTCATCGGAGTAAGCAACTTGAATACAACCAAAACACCTTAATTCCAACATGATATTCTGCCATAATGGATCAAACAAAGCACAAGCATATACAATACTTGTGCATATGTACAATAAAAAAAATCTATTTTCATGCCTCAACAATATAATGCAAATTCTTATATTGAATATCAGTGTATTAAATAAAAATAAATCAAATACACTAATATAATGATAATTTTTTCGGCTCACGTTTTAAACGAAATATTTCAGCCACAAGATACATAAGATAGGTTATGACATTTCGATTACGAGTAGAACTTTGATTATTCGTGATAAATTGCTAAAGAATATATACCGATAGATAATTAAAAAAAAAAAATAAAAGAAAGATTGAAATAAATGTATACCGTGGGTATATGTCCATTCGCGGAAGGATGGTGCAACTGCATCGAAGGTGCCGGTTCTCCTGCGGCACCAGCGCTACTCGCACCAAGCCACTTCATCGTTCTGTCAATCTGTACCGCTGCTTCGGGCTCGATGAACGATGATTAAACAGATAAGAGGAACTCTCACTGTGAAGGTTAGCTCGCTCAGAACCGGCGTCTGGAGCTAAAGGTAGAATCGCCCGCTACGTCTGTTCTGCGGGCATGTTCTACGTGTGACTTTCAACAGTGTGGCATCTCCGCTGCTTCCACGACGACGAGGACGACGGACGACGACAACAACGAGAATAATCACGGAAAAAAAGTATCGTATTTATGAAACTGCGATTGAACGCCAGACAGTACAGCAATGGCAGCTGGGCGAGCGGTGCTGCCGGAATTTTGACAACACTGCCGGACAACGAGGAACGAGAACACAAAGAGAATTGTTCAACTTAACACAGCTTAATCTACTTGGCTTTTTAAGTTTTACCAAACGGCACAACAGCTTCGACGACGAACGAACGAAACTGTGGGGATGTCGAAGGAAAAAAAAAGTGAAACATGCAAAAAACGACAACTGCTTGTTCATCGACGGACGGGAGGGAATTAGGGGTAGGAAAGCAGAGAGGGGGAGGTGAAGCAAAAGATCCGCAAAATTCAGATTCCTCGTATTGTCACCGATGTTACGAAATTCATTTCCGAAATGATACCAGGTACAATAATGGAGGTCCTCCCTTTTCCGATTTTACATACAAACTTTACTCCGGCTACGATTACTCCGAATGATCACCGATTGATAAATATCGTTTGATTAAAGTTCTATACTATTCGTTCTCTTTATGGTTACTATGCACGCTCCGATTTTTCACACACTCATCCCGTAAAACTAAAGCTTAAAATACACTATTCACAGGTATGTACAACGTAGTACAGGCACACAATGTGCGTCCACCGGCATACGCGTGTTTCGCGCGCAAGGATGCTGCGCGATTTTCGGATGGGTTCCAAAGGGTGGGAGGGGGACAAAGAACCAACCCGCGTTTAGAAATACCGCGACAGGATACGAAAACCAATACGTTATTTATGTCAATTTCATGCTTTTCCTACCCGCGACTATTCGGTTTAATTCTTTCTTTCACCACGATAACAAATCCGTTAATATCACTTAAATAACGTTCAAACAATAGTTTTTATACTTTGTCCGGCGTTAATTTGTCCGTTCACATTCACACAACGCCGTGCTTACAGTGTCAAGATTCTAGGTTATACAAGAAAATTGCACATAAAATGAGTAGATAGCGGTGTTTCATGCTAAAATCAAACTTACAATTTTTACCGCCATCTAATATAAAAGACACGTTCTAAAATTAGCTTATGCTCATGTTTCTAACGTTCTATGTATTATTAGTTTATTAAATGTTAATTAAATTTTGCTTCGTTTGTAAAATACTTTCAAAAAATATTAAGTATAAAATAAGCGCAGTTATTGGTTAAAATGTTTGCGTTTATTTCAGTGCAAACTCCTCATAAAGTACTTGTAGAATTATAACTTATACTAGCAGCACTCACCACATAAGACAAGTGTTTAATGACTGTAATTGAATAGCACATGAAAAAGATCAAGTTGACAATTTAATATAAACGTCTTGTTCCTATGACTAAGTTAATGATAACGAATGTTTTTTATTTCACGTTTAAAATATTTTTATAAGAACGATGAATTGGTTGGTAAGCTAACATTTTATTGATGTAGCTAACGATACAATATTATACATAATAAATATCGAAATATATTAATGTCAGTTGTTGACTGTTTATGGTAGCTATATTTTATTCTTTAAGTCGTTTTATCTGTTTTTTTAATCACGTATCATTAGACATAGCAATTTTGTTAAACATAATTATTTCAATTATTTCAAAATTATATCTGCAACGTCGTAAATTTCTTTATTGTCGACGAAGAAATTTCAAATAGTTTTATGTAATTATGCGATAATCTTCGTTTATAGATGACGTAATGCAATTCATTCGATATAATAATCTTTTACCATAATATAAAATGGCAACATTTTGGTCAGGAAGACCTGGTTGGTTAGGAAAAGTAGGAATAGCATTATTAGCTACATGGCTTTTGGTACTAATAGTATCTGTATCACATATCCTTAAGGCAAATAGTTTGTCATCTAATAATGAAAGTCCTACAAATAAAGAAAATGCTCAACGTTTGGCCCAGATGGTCAATGATTTTGAAATTCTCAAGAGGCAAAATGAAGCATTAAAGAATATCATTTTGGGGTAAGCCTGCAACAAAAATGTTCCAAAATAAACAGGTTTATTTAAAGTTTAAAACAAAGAGCATTGTGATCTTTTCGTTGTACAGGATAACATAATTTCCAGAGAAAGATCAAAATCCATTCAAGGAGACCATCTAGGTTCAATACAAGAAAAGCTTGAGAAAGTATCCCTCTATGATGAATTGTTGGATCATAAAGACAATGTTAAACATGGCATTCCTTCTTCTGAATACGAAGAATTACGGCGTAGGGTAAGAAATAATGTACAAGAACTATGGTAAGTACAATATCAACCATGTAAATTTTTAGTATATTGTAAAGTATCAGTGTACTCCATGCTAATACTTTGATTTTCAAAATAGGTATTACATTAGTGCTGAATTAAATAAACTTAAAAAAACTATTGATAAACCCAGTTATGAACAAAAAGAGAAAAAAATACAAGATATAATAAAAAATCTTTGGGATCATAAGAGATCTCTTATTATAGATATTGATAAATTAACAAAAGCAGATGGCTATGATGAATGGCGTAAAAAAGAAGCAAAAGATTTATCTGATCTTGTTCAAAGAAGATTCAAGTATTTACAGAACCCTAGTGATTGTAACAAAGCAAGAAAATTAGTATGTAGTTTAAATAAAGGCTGTGGATTTGGTTGTCAGGTAAATAAACTTTTACTTTATATCAAAATAAAAATTCATTGAAAAGGTTGCAAATACAATATATCACATGTTTTAGCTTCATCATATTACATATTGCTTCTTGGTTGCTTATGGCACAGAAAGAACACTGATAATTAAATCAAAAGGTTGGAGATATCACAAGGATGGTTGGGAGTCTGTTTTCAAACCATTAAGCGATACATGTATATCTATAAATGGTGCATCACATGCCAATTGGCCTGGTGATTCTTCTAAACAAGTAATCTCTTTACCAATTGTAGACAATGTTTATCCTAAACCAAGATACCAACCACCCAGTGTACCGGCAGATTTAGCTTCAAGATTAGAAAAACTTCATGGTCATCCATTAGTATGGTGGGTAGGTCAAGTTCTAAAATATTTAATGCGACCTCAGGAACATGTTACGAAAACGTTGAATTATGCAAAAGAAAGGCTTGGTTTTAAAAAACCTATTGTTGGAATTCATGTAAGAAGAACAGATAAAGTTGGTACTGAGGCTGCTTATCACGATATTGACGAATATATGATTAAAGTTGAACAGTACTTCGATGAACTTGAACCAAAACCCGAAGTAAGAAGAGTTTTTCTAGCCAGTGATGATCCAAAAGTGATTACAACAGCCAGAAATCGTTATACAAATTATGAAATAATAGGGGATCCGGAAATCGCGGAAACTGCATCAGTTGCAAAACGATATTCGGATTCTTCTTTACAAGGTATAATTATCGATATACATCTTTTATCCGAATGCGATTATTTGGTATGTACGTTCAGTTCTCAAGTATGCCGTGTGGCTTACGAGTTGATGCAAACATATTATCCCGATGCTTATAATCGATTTACATCGTTGGATGATATTTATTATTATGGAGGTCAAAATCCTCACCCCCATCAAGCCATTCTAGATCATCAACCAAGGAAAAGTGGCGAAATAGAACTAAAAGTAGGAGACTTGGTCGACGTATTTGGTAATCACTGGGATGGTTATTCTAAAGGATATAATACTCGAACCAGTATGACAGGTCTATTTCCAAGTTTTAAAGTCAAAAATCCAGTTGATGCTGTAGATTTTCCGAAATACCCAAACGTTCCTTTAAATGAAAATAAGAACGAATAGTCACATTTCGATCGTGTAGTAATCTTGAAAATGTTCAGATTGCTTCGAAAAGAATATAACTTGCCTTTATATTTAAATTGTTACAAAAAGTCATGTACACTTATATATTTTACTACTAACAAATAATGGATTTAATTCTCTCGTAAATTGAAATTATCACGAGTTGTGAGACAAGGAAGTTATGCTGCTATTGCCTACACAAATGATGTGTTGAATTTCAAGGAGATTGTTTATAAATATTTGAGAAATAATACCATAGAAAATTCTTAATAAGTTTACGATCTCTTACGAATTGAATTAAAAAATATAAATAAATTAAAAAAAAAAAAAACATAGTGATGCAATGTAAAGGTTTTATATATTTTGATTGACGTTAAAAAATTTTTACTGTTATGTTGATAAGAGATTTTATTAGAATGTGACTGTATCAATGTATTACATTGCAATTGTTCAATAATTTTAAGATATTCTTTTGTAACACGTGCATTTAAAATGTATGAAACATGTTTGACGAGGTATAAGATTTGTGCCAATGCATTTGATTTTTTAAGTATTATTTATACTGGCAAGCCAATGTTCATAAAAAATATACAATGAAATATAATTGACCACATCTTAAAATAAGAATTTTGTATTACTAGATTTTCTCACATCTCCTGATAAAGGCTTGCGTTATAAGTTATTGTCGTAACGTACAATTTGTACATAAAATATACGATACGAATGTTAAGTATATAACAGTTTTTTAATAATACTAGAGCTTATACAATACGCATAAAAAATATTGCATAAAAGTATCTATAATAAGCATAAAATGCATAGACATCGAGCTGGGCTTGAGGCCTATCTTATACAAATAAGAATGTTTCCTGTATACACATTGTAATATATTTTATACTTGTACACCAATCGCGATTGAGAATTGTTATGATATTATAGATTCTGATTTTGGTTTTTAATAAATATTTAATTCATGAATTCATGAGTTCCTTTAGTAATCTAAGGAAATGTGAAAAAAACCGAAAAATGAAACATGAATTTGTGTAATTGTTATAGGTGATTTAAAAGATCATCATCGAAGGAAGTCTACTTTGCTTGATGCTATACAATATACGATATCGAATCATCGATATATGACGAACAACGAAGTTAGTCAAATTTGACACAATTTTTGTATTTGTATTTATTTTACAAAATATTTCGTACTATTTTATATTTCTTAATGAAATTAACTGAAATGATTAATGAAATAAATTTTGTATAATATTTTTGTACGTGAATTTAACATAATATTGTTATAATATCATTGATTTCATTTTGGTACTAGTGCCAAATAATATTTATTGTGATGTGTAATTATATCAAGTTGATTTTAAATTTATAAGTATGTGAAGTCTTTAAACATTATGGCGCAAATCTGTCGTATGAATAAATCTGAAGTACCTGTTTTAATTCGTATTCTTAACAGCAATTATAGGTGCTGCAAAAGGTTAGAATTTGCAATAAAGTATGACAACCAATTTTATGTTAATTTATTGAATAAAATATGATTTTTAAAGACATAAAACCAACTATTACGATGTATTGCGTATTCCTCAAGATGCAACACAGAAGGAAATAAAAGAAGCTTTTATTAGGCTATCAAAAGAGGTAATGTTATTCTTCTTAATTGCTTGCATATTGTTAATATGTTTTATGTTTTAACATTGAATTATATTAATTTTAGCTAACATACATATCTTTTAATTATATTACATTCTTTAGATGCATCCTGATTGTGGAAATAAAGGAAGTCATGATGATTTTATAAAACTCAACGAAGCTTATTCTGTTTTAAGTAAAAAAGATACTAAACACTATTATGATTTTGAAGTAAAATATAATGATTCAGCAAATTGTGATTTTCATTCCCATAGGTATGTTTATCTGATGAATATTTATTTTAAAAAATTAAAACAATTTATGTCATTCTTTTATTCATTTTTTTATTTTCAGATTTTATAACTTTAATGATTTATGTGAAGTTCAAAATAATGAACAATTTGGAAAAGATAAAGCAAAGGTGCTTGGAGTATGTGTGGCAATCATGATTTTTGGAACCATCATGCAACTAATACGGATTAAGATGTGGTCAGATTTTAATAAACGTGCAGCAGCAGAGAGAAATTTAAAACGTGAGTTAGAGTATCAAAATTTTAAGGAACAAAGAGAAGAGATTCTAAAATTAAAACAATTTAAATTAGATATACATAATAAATAACATTGTAATAAACTTGTATTTAATTCTGTACATTGTGATATAGCAACATTTTCAAGAATAGTCAAAATATTGAATACAGTAAATCTGTATTTAAAGTAAATTTTTAATGTAACTTAAGCAGTATGTAGAAAATTTTTAAGTTGTTTATTTTTTATTTATAAAAAATGTAACACTATTAGAAATTTATTTAAATACAAATTATCTTATTTTTGTTACTTTGCGTGAATTGATTACAACAAAGTAATAAATTTATGTATTTTAAGAGTATTCGATAAAGCAAATGCGATAAATTATCACGGTGCTACGTTACATCGTATAAAAGTAATAAATAAATTAATGGTTTATTTAAGAAACGAAAAATATATAATACAATACGTTCGAATAACCGCCAAAAAGAGAAATACAGTATAAAGTTCAAAGTGCGTTTATCAGAATAATTACTCTTCGTTCTAAACAGGTACTCGATGTTGAAAATATATCGTGCTGCGGTATCCTTTATAGCTTTTTTATGTATGTGATGATTGACGTGTGCGGAAACGCTGGACAAAAGATGGGATCACCATCTTCGTCAACGTAATCCGCATATTTCAATTCGTATATTCGTTCAAAGCCCAGTCGTGCACAAAGTTTGCCAGAAAAAGAGGACGAACAGTCGGCGCGTACCATGTGAAAGTCCTTCTCCTTCCCTATTTCACTGTAAACCAAATATTTCAAATGTGTATCGATGCTCGATCGATTGCGATTTATTATGGGTATCGTAATATATCGATAACAGGTAACAAATCAAGATGGTCCGATAGTCGGGCCTTCGTCGAGCACGTGAATTTGTATATACCGCAGTTGACCAGAGTCCATAACTGCGACGCGCAGGTTGGAAGATGGTGGGGGAACGCAGCGAGCTCTCTGCTAATCGCTTTCCACTTCGTTTGGAAGTATCGCCAATCAGGGCGAAGATGCGCACTGGAGAAGCGCAAAGAACGAAAACTGGTCTTTTCGCAGTTATGGACTCTGGTGAACTGCGGTATACATATACCAATTCGTCTCGTTGGACGAATTATAAATAATATCTATCTATTATAATAATATCTAATAGAAAAGAACATTAATAAGACGATTAAAAACTTACGAAGTTGATACTGGATGCAGATTTAAAGTAACTATATATATACTTACATAGCTTTTTCTACGAGTGCCTTGCCGATTCCTTTGCCCCTCCAATTAGTGTCTACTGATATTATTCTAATTTCCAGGATATCCAATCCCTGATACTGCCCATCCCGATTCACATTTTTGTCCACGTAACGCAGTAACCTAAGAATTTTCTTGAATTTTGGATTTTCACACGTGGTTATGTACTCGGGTTCTTCGTCGCAAGGGGGATCCATCTTTCCTGCGTGCAACAAGTAAGCATAATTTATCAGTTAATAAAGGTAGGATTAATGAAATCATAATATATAATTGCATGTATAGCCTGCGTGTTTTATTTTTGATTCGCAAGGCAAAACTGCGTGTAATAATTTGAACGTCAATGAATATAGAATAAATCTAGTTCGACCTGTTGCAGAATATTGATAACGAGCGAATAGTTGCAGACTGATAAGAATAGTGGGTTGCGAATGGTTGCAAGTCATAAATTCACCTGACAATACTCGTATAATGTATTTAGTGGTGAACGGTGTATCTACATTCATTCTAAAGGTCTCTTATTAGCATAAAACGCAGAATCGAAACATCCCGTTGTGGAGGATATTGCAAGTCTCTTATAAAAGATCCCACGAATTTTTATTCGATTAATCTTGTTGACGATTCGAATGGAAACAGGAAGACGGATGCATATAGAATCTTGCAATTAAAGGAAGGAATACTGGCGAGCATGAATTTTCAAAAACAAAATTTTTTAAATCGTCAGATTAATTTGATATTAATTCATTGAAAATTAACGTGGAAATTTATATCTGAAACAATCAAGGGAATTTTTACAATAATTAAAACTGACAAGTTGCCTGCTATTAATAGCAATTAGTCGGTAGATTATTTTAGATTGATAGAGCGCCTTACTGTAAGGAACTCAACCTCGGTAATTTATATCGAAGGTAACTGTTTAACATCTACTTTGCATTCGAAGTGACAATTCCTACGAGTATTCGATGAGAAACAGTTTATTCATTCATTGTTCGTTGTCTCAATATTACTTCATCAATAATATGGCAAAAATATAAAAACTATGGTATCGCCCCTATCATTACCGATACGTTGATCGAGGAACCTGATAATGAAAACGTGAAAATATTAAAAGGGAAGAAACATATTTTTCTCTGTTGGCTTTGATAATCAGCATAACATGTAACTAACTGGATTTGTCGATAGAGTAATATAATTGTATCGTTGCTGCGATAACCGGTAGCGATTAATAAGTCTCACGTTTGCTTGGTACTCGCATAACAATTTATGTAACGTTGAATAGTACCGTTTTCTCGTAGGCGTGTCTTCTTCCCTTCTAAGCTTATTTTTCCATCAGATTATTCTTTCAAGCACTTATCGCGACTTTTTTACAGTTTTTATATAATTTTTCAATTTTCATTCTCTTAATTACAGATCCCTCCACGATATACTATATTTACCAGTCCTCAAGGTTCAGCGCGATTCTTATTATCTTTAGCATTAATCCATTCAAAGCGAAACTGTGGTTTTTTACTAGATCAATGCTCAAACAAGATACGCCTGGTAAATATCAATGACCTCCTATGATACTGTTAAGCAGACAAAGGTTTCTGTTTTAAGATATATCCACTTGTTAACCTACATTCAATTTGATATTGATGTTCAAGCGAAATTATTCATCGTTTGGTATTCGTAGAATATACCAGTTCTTTGTATTGTTCACTCTTAGAGAGAATAAAAGGTTCTCGGTAACGAGATCAGGCTCTTAATTTACATATACACTACCGATGAAAAGTTTCAGACCACTTACTTCGCTGTTACAGATATGTATACGTATAGTGTAGTTATTGGGTGAAATTCTTACCATTCAAGAGGACACCTACAATAGCACCGCTGGTCGAAACCGCCATGAGGCTAAGATTGTTTTCGAGCGTGGACATGCTGCAGTATTCTTCTAATTCGATGCAGGTGCTGTCCTCGCTTTCAGGTATTAGCTGAATAGAGTGATTAAGCGGCTCATCTCTGAAGAAGAACCTTCTAAGGAATTTTAGTATCCTAAGCTTATCGTCCTTCGTAACTATTTGAATATGATAATCCATGCCAATATTGTTGTCCGTTGAATCCGCCAGCTGAAACAGTCGAGGAACAAAGTTAGTAAAAAAATCACTTTGATTTTTCCAAAGACTGTAACTAGTGCATCCTAAGAGACTTCTTAAATTTCTATCGTTCTAAGAAGTAGCTTACTTTATTAAGTAATTTCATTGTAAGAAAGAAGTAATTCGATCGTTCTGTAAAAAATTTTTAAGAAGACATTTGTTTGACTCGTTAGACAATGTAGCGTATCGGGTCGTTTATATTCTGAAAAATAACACATGGTGTAACACTTTGGATATATGTTGATGTAACTTAATGCAACTTAGTGCAGAACAACAATTCGTTGTTTTCGCGGCGACGAGAATTGAATTAACGCTTTCACGCGAGACAATTAACGTATGGCCCGTTGCATTGGTTCTGTCTGGTAATTCGCAACGCGTTCTCGTTTGTGGTACGTTTTATCTCGGTGATTAATGGCCAACATAGTCGAGGACTGAATTATATAGTTGATCCACTTCCACGCAATGATTCACATTAGATGACAACAGTGAACGTAACGTTTATATTTTGATTTCTAGGACCATCATTACGCCTACTTCGTTACGAGGAACTCGATGCGATCAGTGCTTCAATTTTTTACGATTCATCAATGGAATTATATTATTAGCGAATTACATTGTCCAGTCGTTAATTCGCTTCGTATACGAACAAAATTATGGGTTATTATTGGCAAGAGTGTGGTATTTATGGCTTCGGTAAATTTAGTAATCATCGATGCTCTGTAATAATGCATCATCTATTCTAATATTACGGAGTTACATCATTTCAATTCTATTAATGGTCCGTCAATCGCAATTATAATAACGGTAAGCATTGTTTTATACATGTAACAAGATAGATATAATGACAGATTGGGGACAGTACGAAAGCATCCAAACGGTTCGCTTCCTTTTCGATTTATCGTGTCATATTAGAGAAGCGAAGAAATGCGTTTCGAAATGGCAGCGGATACGGGATTGAATAATTTCTTATTTCACCGCTAAAATTAAACATTTTGATATTCTGGAATAATTTGGAAGCTACACCAATCTTACCGTGTATCTTGCAATTTTTGGCACATCTTTCGCAAAGTTGGTCTTGTTGGCATCGATTCGGCCGGAGTTGGCTAAATTCGAGGACAGCACAGTTTCCATGTTGAACCGCAATATGTTAACAATCGATTCTTTTAAATTTCAGGTACCAGTATCTTCTCGATGGGACCACGATGAACTATTTAACGGGTCACTGAATGTAGTAACACCGGCTACCAGTTCGCCAATAACACGATGCTCGTTGTTGACGTCGAGGTGGTAATCTAACACTGCGCTTTGTGATAGCTCGTCGTCAGTCTTATATACGCTCACGGTACCGGGCAAAAGCCGTTTCTACAGGTTCATGGACAAACGAGCATACTTTGGGATACTCAGCGATTGGTAACATCACAAAATACTTCAATCAATACAATCAATCCTTTATAGCGAACTAAAAAAAGTATTGGTTTTTTTGCTTCCTTGCAGTCACTTCATTTTAACACTTTGACGGCAGTACATCTCATATGTTATATACCCCTCAACATTATAATAATTTTAATTGATAATTACAATGAAACGTAATGTAACAATACTTTTTTAACTCATTCGCGAACACATCGTTTTTTCCGTCGATAAGATACTTTATGTAACTCGTTTATTAGACGGACGCAACACGTTTCACGCGTGACTCTTCTTTCCGTTGATTCTTTTAAATAATTAAACGTTCGAGAGCTTTTTTCCGCAAGTAAATAATCGCCGACATAATAGTGCCAAGGGAATATTCGATATTCCACTATGAATTTTTAATGGTCGACATGTGTACACGCTTTATCGTTTAATATCGGTTTAATGTAAATGAAACGAGTGTTTAACACTGTAGCACGCGATCGTTTAATAGAAATTGAAAAAAGAGGGCAAATTGCTAACTGTTGCGATTACTTTGCGATATATCCTAAGAGCTACACGCTAAGATTTCACTGGGTGTCGCGTAAAAGGAAACGATTTCTTCTCGGAAATTAATCTTAAAAAGCATAAATATGATTTAAAAAAAAACGAACGCCAAAGTGTTCAATATTTAATTTTACATAAATCTCCAGCTCGAAGCATGTAAGAATTCATCGAACGTTTCCATCGATGATTAATCCAAAACAATTTACCTATCCGGAAGCTTAAACGTTTTTCGATGTCGACAAGAAACGTCGATATATTGACGTTAATACATCGACGAAGAAACTGAATTCATTAAGCAAACTGTTGTCCAATTCTAATTGCCTTTCAATCGTATCCGGTTCGTCTACGCCAAACTCGTGTAACGAATCGTATCGTTGCTTTTTCTACGATGCGACATTGAAATCTTTCTGTATCGAATCGGCAACCGATCGACACCTCTTTTTAATCCCTGACTAATCAAATCGTTGTTAATATGTTTCAGAATCCAAGCTACTGTTAACACCTCACCGGATACTTATTCATCCTCTACTCACCCTGCTAATTTTGAGGTAAGTTAGAAAGCGATAGTGTTTATTCATTTTATTCACGAACGATAGATACGGTAGTGGAACGTAACGCAGATAGATTATTCGTGAATTATGCAACTCCATTGAAGTATACGGAACACAAAACATGCTCCAGTTCGGTCACGGAACTATTGTCGATTTAAACCCACGAAGGTCAGCAAAGAGAACCGTAGCCATACCTTAGATGGCATTCAATGACATCGACTTTAAGTTCCTGGCCATCGAATGTTAATTTATTATCCTTTTTCTAAGCTACCAAGTTCGACTAAAAAGGACACAACTTTGTAGACACGCGGGTCCTTGCAATGGAATCTCACTCTTGACCCAATTAATTTTTTTTTTTTGTTTTTTTTCAATTTTCTAATCAACCTTTTACTTCCACATCCTGTCTATCGTCCTGTGATCAATCTTTCGAACGGAACACCGATGGGTATCTCCTCTACGAGTCTTTGCAACGCGAATACAATCACTCTGTAGCCTTTGATCGCGAGACTCGATAAAACCGTACGAACGATCGCCAATACACGCGACAATGAAATATTAGAATCGTTCGGTCGTTCTTGGAATCCTTTCGAACCGGATTCGGTGGGTAGGTGTTGAACTTCCGCCATCGAACGACCTTTTCGCGATTTCGATCGTTCCCTTGATTTTTCTTCCCTCGTCTTACGTGTTTCGCGAACTAATTTCCAATCGAACGCGGACGATTGGAATTGTATCGTTGTTACGTATCGTGTTGAAGTATTATTTATTGAATTCTTAGACACGAACTGATCGTAGAGAGGAGAAGCTGGATCGCTCGAGAAATACAGAAGGATCGGGTGAACCGTTATTTAGGGCAGCGAGTAACCCAAGCAGTATTGATTACTGAAAAAAAGTACCGATTCTTTTCCTCGGTATCTGAGAAATTGTTGCAGTATCATAATTCGAAAGACAATTCTCTATCGAGTATTTTCTCATGCTGCTATTGCTCGATCATTGATACACTTTTTATTGGCATAACCACCCACCCGTTAAGTGATCACGATCCACATAGACATAAACGATTCTCAATCGAGTATGAGAGGCGGTGCCACGTCCGTAACTGGCAAGCCAATCGGAATAAAGTCTTACACCTGTTTCTCGCATTAGATTTACAGTAATTGCAACGTAAGTTTACCTCGAGACCGAGGCACGTGCTTTAAAAAGTTACGATTCTACGTTATCGAGTTCATGGTTTCCTTTTCACCGTCTTTCGACTAATTAGAGTAGCTTGCGTTATCATTTCATTGTTGCTCAATGCTAGTTTTTCGTATCACTATCCTACGTGATTTCATTCAGATTCAATTTCACGTCTCTTTTTTCACTTTCTAATCACCCGTTATTAAGGAAGATTGAGAATATCGTTGGTTGAAACATTGAATACGTTATCGGTGGTCCATAACATAATAAAATATATCGAGTGACCACGGGAGTTTGATTATTCTCGATCGCCTTGAAACATCGACGCGTAACGTGTTCTGCGTAATAAATCTATTAGCTGACGTGTAAATGTATTAATTACCGTTGAACCCTCTGCCGTACTCCTTGGAATTAATTGCGATTTACGCGAGAAATTACACAGGACACGCCTTCGAATCGATGTGCTTGCTTGCCTGATACAGTTAAACCTGGAACGATTTAATTAATTCAAAACCGACGACGCACCTTATGCGTCCTATATAATAAAAACTAAAAACGCAACAGGTGCGTCCTGCAAAGAAATTATCAATCACTCCTCGAAGAACTTGTTTCAGAAAATATCAATCTCCCTTACGTGTTCGTCGATATTCTAGACCATCTATAGAAACAAGTTTCTTCGCATATTATAGGATCATTAGAGACAATTAAAATAATGGTGTAATTAGCATTGCAAAATGATCATATCGAGCGATTTTTCTCCGACCACAAAGTACACATATCGATAGAAGGAGACAGTATTTTTATTCGCGATAAAAGATTGCGTCCCACTTGACTGGCTTTCGTACAATTGCGTTATCGTTCGCTGCATAACAATTACTTAAACGCTGAAAACAAGAACACGGTTAATAATGGTACGGTTACTTCAATCAACCGTTTACGCAAATCGTCTCTCTATCCCGTTCGAACGGTGGCCCTGTTTCTTCTTTATCTTCCCGTATGTTTTTCAACTTCTTTTTTAACTTCTTCGTTATATTATTCCAGGTGACAAATGAAAAAAAATATCACGATTCCTTCTACGCGGTAGATTCAGAGCTCGCATCGAACGCAATGTGAATGAACAGCGTGCAAAAGAAAATTTGTATTCTAGCTTTGTACACGATCGCGTGTTATCGTTGCAATCGAGGCTAATCTCGTTTAGCGTTCGATCTAGTGCTAACATGAGCTCGTTTTAGAGGCTCTGCTGTATCTGCTTGAAGTGATAGAGCTTCGAAAGGAATTGAACCCAATGACGGAATCGGTTCTTTAAACAGTTCGGCTTATTGTATCGATGATATGCAAATTAGAGGTTGCTGCATAAGTTCTGAGAAACACCTTCTAATTGAAATCTTTAGTCACGACTACTTATCTAAGTTGAATATTCTCAAACATTTCATCCTCGTCGTATCTACATCAACGTAGAGAGCTTGCGTGGCAACCTAATCAATGTTGATCAAGGCAACCTAGCAACCTAATCAATCTCGATCCCTTTTCATTCTCTCAACAAACTGTGTATCTCTGGAGAAAAATTTGCCGCGTATCAAATAATTCGAAATTTCTATGGTATATTCATCTCTGTTCTGGTATCATCCACATATGGATGACACATCAATCAAAGCTGTTCAACTCTTGTACAAGCGTGTCGTTTAAAAATGTGTATACAACGATCAACATCACACTTACCGAACGAGATTGTTCGAAAGAAATCGAGACAGGTATTCAACGATTAGCTGTCCCCTCTTCCTCTTTTGTTTCTTTTATCGGTACGTGACACTTTCTTTAAACAGATTTCGGTCGAGACAGCAATAACTGCAAGCAGGTCGGTGGAAATACATGAAACTTGTCACATAGAATATTTTGTACTTGGAACACGTGCACCGAAGTTCCGAAAGCGAAGCGTATAATCGAATTACAGCTGACCACGCCGGATAGAAAGAGATATGTATGTAATTCTTGTGTATGTACACAGCTCGAAACGTTGTCGTCCACTATGCACGACGCGATGATCTTTGTTTTAGCATTCAACCAGTGTTCAGATAATTCGTTATCGACTGAATTTCATCGTTATCAATGATTCCGTACAAGTGGTCGGAACTTTCTTGCCGAGAAACAGATAGCAGAACAGTGGACACGGCAATGTTATAAAGTCCTTCCGAGACGTCTGGAAATATTCTTTTTTTTCTTTTTTTTTTTTTTTTTTTTTTTTTTGGAAACGTGAAATACTAGTTTGTGAGAGATCTTTGGACAACAAGTTTGGATTTTCGGTTATAAATTATTTATTTCTGTGAATTTTACTCCAAAGCCAATTGAATTAGTTTTTTTTTTTTAATGAAATGATAGGAAATAAATGAAAAGTGGTTAGATGGATCTTCTTCTTTTTCTTTTAATTTTTCGTAGTAATTTGTGAAGAATTTTTTTTATCAACAAAAACGTGACACGTTCTTTTTAATATTCTTCCTCGACAACAGTGAATAAAATGATTTGCATAACTGTGGTGCCTGAGAATGCAATTAAACGAGATTTTTATTAAACAGGACAGCAGAGAGATAGCTATTTCCGCGCGTAAAACGAGACGCACCACGGATTCATCCAAGAATAAATGGCAAAGGATAGAGGAGAAACACTGTCGTTGCCGATATATTTACACCGCAACTGTGTGCTTTCAGTGAGATAAAGTGGCTTCCTTTAGCTACTGCTCGTCTTCGGGGAAAATATATCCTCGGTCAGTGAAACGTTCGCCTCTGAACCCGTTGCTAACCTTTCGCTGTCCAATAAATCCGGTGATCGGATTACTCTAACACGTGAGAAAATCGATTTATCGTTACGTAGTAAAAAAGTATAGAATGAATCAGTTCACCTAGCATTGTTTTTTACAACATGAACAAAACGTTTAGCTTCTTATGATGTCATTCGGTCAGACGAAAGTAAGAGGAAAAAGATCCAGTGTTGTTTTTTCTCAAACTTAAAAGAAAAAGCTTTTATGAATCTTTCAAAAGAGAAATCTCTCTCCTGTAAAATCTTTTAAGCGAAGCAACAGCTCTTTTTTTTTTTACCATGTATTTGTTGTATTGTTTCTTACGTACCTGAAGAAGAAGCCTCGCGCTTCTTGGACGTAATTTCTTCTGTTTTCAAAAGAACGAAACACGCCGATGTGTCCCCTTCAGTCTATCGCCAACTACGCACTGCCAACGTGAGAACAAAGTTCGAGCAATAGGGAGGGTCATTACCATCCGGCACGTAATATCCCTTCGACGAGGAACCCATGGAAAGGGTAGCCCCAGCTCTATTTTTTCATTGAATTTCATTAAATTGCTAGATCTGGGACTAACCAATCACCATCCTCCAGGAGGATGGGCTGAACGCGATCATAGAAAAGTTCCCCAGCATCCAGTGTAACAGTTCAAATACGATGATAATAGAATCAAGTGACTTAACGTGCGTTCATACATCTTTTGCGGAAATTTCAATTGATTCGTGCCGGTTCAGGTAGAGACTATTTATCATTATGCATATTCCCTCGCATATTGTGACTGTAACATCAACCGTGATGGCCTTAACGATTACAAGACTACAACATTTTGAAAACACTATACGGACGTGACTAGTTGATGATACGAGAAACTAGCGGTAGCCATCATTTGCTACGTATGATTACCATGGACGCTTGTAATTGCAGTTTCCACGCCTATAATTACAAAGCAGTCCATAACAGATACCATTAATACAAATTATATCCGTGAATTTTATTGAATCTATCCGCTAAGCGATATCACTGACGAACTTACATCATCGTTCAAAAGTTTCATTAAAGCACTTGCTGAATTTTGTGTAGAATCAAGAAATTTTTTCAAGGAAAATAATGTAAGATTAATTCAATTGCCACTTGATTGGTTTGTCGATCATTAGGTAATAAAAATCACTTCATCATCTATGTAAAAAATTTCCAAATTATATCAAAGATTTTTTAACCAGAGTGTACACATCATGTAATACAAGGGTTTATTAAGCCATTAACAGTTCTCTAGACACTTTCGAATATTTATCTTGAGATGGTTTGCCTTGAAAGAAAATTCAATTATATCTTCTGACACTGATCTATTCTCTAGAAAACTGTGTCGTACGATCATTGATAAATCTCAATCTACAATCGACATGCCTGTAAACAAATCACAACAACGAAATGATCAATTACTTTCTAACACGAACAGTACTATTCGACTCCTATGGGAAATAATAATAGAAATTACAGACGTTATATAATCTGTTAGTATTGAAGAAATAATGTAAATGTGTGATTTTCGATAGTATCATCGATTGAATTATCGTCGGTAATCATTGCTCAAAGTAAAAGATATATATATCAGTATCGTATCTCTACATCGTTAATCATCCAATTTATAATGAATTATGAAATGATTATTACGATATTTTACTAAGCAGCATGGTATAATTTAATACACAACTTGAATCAGTTTTATCATTTGAAGTGGTGCTCGATAAATCAGTGCTCCCTGTTCTACTTCCTCTTTATTGGGTACTTTATGTAAAGTATCGTTGATTTATTTCAATCTATAGAAGAGCAGCGTCACCAAAGCTTTGGTTCTATGAGAATCAGCACACGCGAAACATTGTCAATGCAATGAATAATATCTTTTTTTCAACCGCAATCGCTTGCCTCATGAATGTTTTATGATAATCTTTTTTTACTTGCAAACATTGCCCGATTACTAGTCGGTTTAAAATTGATCAATTATCCAGATAAAATTCAATCGGTACCTACTCGAACGTAATCGAGAAATAAGGCTAAGCATTCTGTGTTTAATATGGGGAAACGGGGCAGTAGAAACATCCGTATATAGTCAGACACGGGATAATATAGATCAGGTTTTAATATTTTCAGTTCAGCATTAACTGTGGATGATTTCTTAGTCATTTTTCTCTATTATTAGTTTCTTTTTTTATTTGTAACTTATATATTTCTTAAAGAAACGATTTATTGAATCAATGTTCGAACCACTCGTGTTACATCGACGGATTCTTCGAGATCGATACCATCTAGATCACGTATCAGTAAAATTATGCTCCTTATGCCTTTGTTAATCACCACTTGATACCGACAATGTAGTTTATGAGCTACATTATCAAGGTTAACTACAATTCTCTATTATAACTATTTTTTTGCATTCTTTACACGACCCACAAACATGTAAATCACTCTGGCCCAATATTCATATCTCGTATCGAAACGTCGAATGTTAAAAGGGAACAAAAAAGAGGTGTTACAAAAATGCGAGAGACGAGGACATTTATTGTTGGTGATTGTCCTTTCGTAAACAATGTATAGATCATCGTGCAACGGGATACACGTTTTGGCATTTGCTCGAAAGAGCAGGTCGAACAGAAAATGTCAAAATCAGACCTTCGAATAAGGAGTTCCACCCACAAGTGTTAATCGTTTTGTTCATGCATTAATAGGATCACATAAGTTTTTTTTTCTCTTCTTGAGAATAATTGAGGCGCGGCTCGCTTATCTTGGTTTTCTTTCAGCTGGTCGTGGCAATTATGCAAAATATAATCGGAGAGCATTAAGAAACTTCTCGTTGAATGTGTAATCTAGAAAAAAAGTGACGGCATTTTTTAATTGGACGTTTTTTAGATACTAAAAGTTTATTTATAGATAAATTATATAATTTATAGATAAATTTCAAATCTTATTATTTGTATAAAATTTTAGTATTTTAAGAGACAATTATTTATTTAAGACATTTATTTTTACCCGCGCTTTAGAACCGATCGTTTTGACGCCATCTAGCAGCAGACTCCAACTTTTAGAGTTGAAGGTACTCTTTCAAAAAGACCGCCAAACTTTGAAACGCTATTTCCATCTGTCGATAAGTGGAACTATTTTTATACTTATCGATAGTTTGATCATAGTTCGGCGCTTGGCCGTTAGATGGCGCTGGCAGTCAATGTAGGTGCGTCATGCCATCTGACGCCACCCACACTGACGTTGATTATAAAAATAAATTTATTCGGTACTTGACACAGGAATAGATTATAATATTGAATTTATATTTAATAGAAAATTATTCTACTAGTATAATTTTTAACTAATTTTTACGTATATTTCGTATTATCAGTAAGATGTGGTCAGTGGTTAGTGAGTCACGGGTAGAGTCAAAAGCATCGGCGCGCTCAGCTAGCGGTTGTCATGGTGACGAGCAATCATCTTCTCCCACTCCTTTGAACGAGCCCCCTCTGCGTCAGTCGTTCGCGAAGTCTCGCAGGCGGTGGATCGTGTCTCCGAAAGTCGGTCGCTGTTTTCATGTGTTGTCGCCCTTTTTCTCCCTTACCTTCGTGAAAAATTATAAAACGACGAGAAAAACGGTGCGCCTCGGGGGCGCTGCCGTAAGTGTACAGTGCCGAATTTCAGCACGGTGATAGGCTAGCTCCCGGTTCTTCCCTACACGGTCAATAATGAGGGACATGGCGGGCAAGATCGCCGAGTTGAAGTTCGAGGCACCCCTCGCACGTTTCGAGGAAGAAGACACGGCCAGCTTGAAGAATATGAATCTATTGACAGGTGCGAAAATGCGTACAATATTCTTCTGTTACTTTGTTCTCAGATCATTGCGCATCTTACTCCGCTGTCACGCAGCAGCGACGTAACCTCGCCAAGGATCAAAATTTCATCGCGATGTACTGAATTTCAAAATGATCGTTGTTGAACGCATTACGTCAAATGCAAAAATTAAAGAATAAACGGGTTGAAGGTTGGAGGGACGGTATTCTGGTCGTTAATCGATTCTCAGATTGCTTCGATAGTGGGTGAAACCTATAGGCTTATGAAACGACGACGATGACTTCGATAATAATCGAACGGTCGCGGTATCTGTGCGATCTTCTCTTTGCTTTGACTAAAAAAGGCGTTTCAACCCGAGGCGGTACCGCAGAAACGGAAATTTCGAAACCGAAAGAGTTTCTTGGTAATGGGAACTGGTTATGTTGGCTGCGTAAACGCGTGAAATATGTTCGTGCACGCGTGGTCACGCTCATTTTGCGGACGTGCAAATTAAATGACGAGGGTGGCTGGCTGGCTGGCGTACATGCCAGCGCTAAGAAGCGACCTTCGAAGCACGACAAAAGGCTACGTCATGCGTACAATTGGTGTCTAATATCCTTCGTGTACGCTCTAACTCCGTATCACTTTTCGCGACATCGTTGAAACAAACGTCGAGATCCGTCCTCCAAACACCGGCCTATGTATTAACGCGTTCCAGAAAAATGACAGACATTTAATCCTGGAAACATTCGATCCTCTATACGCGTCATTGTCGTTCACGCGAAAATCCGATTACTCTTGGCGCAATTGATAATATCTCTGGAAGATGTAATTAATATCGGCTTGCCTTTTAAAGCCGCGTACGTGTGCATACATTTCTCTCTAGAAGTGTATATCTCGCGATGCGCTCGGTATGATACGCCCCTGTATACAAACAGTGACCCATCTTTCGCGTTTATTGCGTCCCACACTATCGGATCTGTCTGTTTACTCTTCTCTCTCTCGATTTAACTGAATACGTTTAACGCACAGGCTGACGCGTTTTTAGCGCTAAAAATAAAACTGGAACTTTGTGAAAGACACGATCTCGACGGACGTTTACAATTAACCATTATCGTCGAAAGTGAGCGATTATAGCGGAGATTCTTTTTTTATATTTAGAACAATTATTAGACAGCAGCCTGAACAGCAGCTACGGGGAGAATTGCAACGCGAACGAGCCACCGACGACCCATGAAAATGGCACCGATATTCTACAGGAGGGGACGTTCAGCCCTTTCAGCGGCAGCCTCGAGGATCTCGTTAACACCTTCGACGAAAAGATAACATCCTGTTTTCGCGATTACGGCACCGACGTCGAGTCCCTGGCACCTGTGCAAGTGCGGACACAGGAGGAGATCATGAACGAGTGCCAGTAAGTTTTTTCAGCTAATTACATCTTCACCCGGCGAGGATTCACCCTTCGAATCGCTTAATCTATCATTAAAACGGTTTTTGTAATAATATGAAACGTCAGGTTATCACTTAAATGACCGGCATATCTAAGCATTGAAACACGAGAGCGATCGTTTAAGTATTAATAAACTTTCAATAACATAGAAGATAGTGACCGGAAGTTCAATTTTTCAGGTACTAGATTCTTTTATACAAATGGTAGGCATTATTGAAATACGCGAAGTATTAATTTTACAAAGACGTAGGCGGCTGCCCAGGCCCAGAGCCCGACCCTGGTTGATAAAATAACCGATGCATTCTTGTATCGAATTTGTAACCACTGAACCGTCTATTTCAACAGGGTAGCTGCGAGGAAAAAAGTGCATAAAGTGAAAATGATGTCGGTACACGCGCGATTGAGAAGTTTCTATTACCCTTGGGTCATGCGATATCTCCGGTACAGTTATACCGGTTTTACGTGGCCACGTTGGACGATTAAAGAAAAATGAAAGAAAAAAATTCCTCCGAGGCGGAGCGGATAAATGAATACCCCTGAAGATTGCTGGAGTTATCGCGTTCAAATTGTCGCATTTACCTTGAGATATCTATTACACCTGCCGCTGATGTATTCTCGTTATAAAGTAAATGATAGCCTCCTCCCCGGCGGCTTCTGCCCTAGCGGAAATAATCGTTTATGTAGCGCTCGCTGTTTGCAATATTATTCGCACGTGAATCATAATTACTAGATCAGCTTAGGTATTTCAGTAGCTCGATGAGAGAGCAGGCTTTTACGATGAGCACGAGTTTACAATTCATATAAAGTGCAACAAGCGCAAAGATTATACCGGTTTACGCGCTCCAATGCCACGTGGATCGGTACTGACCTACAGCGGTTATCAGGAGCATCGCTTTAATTAACTTAGAGGGATTATGTGCCAGTAATTGCATTAATGATCCAAGTTAAATATTTAACAAATTTCATTATGCGGCTTACTTCGTACGTCGAGATATCTTTGAAAGAAAAATGTAGAATGCAGTTAACGTAGTCGAGACTTTTTAGTTTCGATCTTCTACCGTGAATCTCAAGTTTCACGTGGCATGGAAAACACGTTAAATAATCTCACGTTAACGCTTTCTTCGACTCTCGTTAAGACGCACAAACAGTTTCACTCGATGCTCGAGCTAAACCAATATCGCTGAACGATAGTCGTATGGTTTCATTAGAGCCGTTACAGGTAGTTGCGGTAAATCTTGAGATTGATACGGTTCAACGGGTATTATCTTCTTTCCTTTGTCGACAACCATATCATTTTGTTAGGTTTTTCTAATAATTGTAATCCAATTTACCTCCCTGCCAATCATTTTAATCCGGTGATAGTATTCTGTTCTTTTGTTTTATAATTAGTAGAGAAATTTTCAATTAATATGCACGTAGTCCTTAAGATCACGGTATCGATTTTCCAACTGAAAAGTGTGCCACCATGAGTACTCTCTACATGACGTTCTGCGGCGCGTTCTGCAGCTTTCTCTCCACGAAGTGGACACTGCACAAGAAAGAAACTTACCTTCTAATTAGACTATCATCATCCGTCCTGCAGACAAATCTAAATGTCTTGTGGTTGTTCGCGAAGAGTTGAATAGAGTCAGGGAAAATCGAAAGTAGCAAATATTCTGAAGGATAGAACAAACGCGTGTATGTCATCGAATCATAGGATTAAATACTTTAATCCTCAGCAATATATTTCAGCTTTGTATTTTCGTTGAAAGATCAGCAGTTTGTAGCCGCTGTGCAGGTGTCCGACCGAATATTACACTTCGTAACGAGCGAGACTGCAGGTGAAACGCTCAACGAAGCGCAAAATTGTATCTTCTTCGGTGTAGAATAACGTTGGCCGGGGTTCTTAAACTCGTTTGAACCTTCACTGTAACCTACTGTTGTGCATAATTTCTTTGAAGTCACCTGCCCTTCTCAAAATTTGTCTAGACGATCGGAAGGGATTGAGAGGAAAATAAACTTGCACGCCTACCTGAAAGAGAAAAAGGTTCTTTCCCGAGATTGTATCAGAGTTAGGAGAATTGGTTTTAAACCCCCTAGGGTCAGGCCAAATTGACCTACGTTTGTTCTTTCAAAGCTGTTATGTACCTGCTACTCGAGTGCAACGCTCCTCTACCTGGAACTCTATTCTTCTTTATTCAGGCCATTCTTCTTATCAAACATTTCGCAATAACCTCTCAATAACTGCGTATAGACGCAATCATATCTCAAATTGATCAAACTATCAAAACTGTAAGGTTTTGCACGAAATCAAGGGGTCAATGTTCGAGGTTTGCGGATACGACACGTGCTGTTGCACGTGTCTTGTTCGGTATTGCTGACGCTTTTCATATGCATATACACCAGGTCCGAAAGAATAAACGCATCCGTGCGTACATATCCGGTGCGCTTGAGCATTGTTCGTAATCCAATTTGTCGCTATCATGTACAAGAAAATTATTTTATGAATTTTATGAATTACAAATGAAACCTTGGGTCACGTAAAAAAAGGTCGTGTTCCATAATGGCACTTCGCGGTTCAAAAGAACAACCCCGAGTCTTTTTAATTGTACAGCGATGCCTGAACGTTAAAATATTACCAAGCACGTTCAGCTACAGATTGTTAAGTAGCTATGCGAGACTTCAATAGCTGGTTGCGACAGAATAGAGCGTTGCAGGAAACGGAAGGTCTAGGATTAAGTACCATTAAACCGATTCTTTCCCTTTCTATAGGGGAGCCTTTCAAATTCTCAGAATTAATAGCAATTAAGGAAAGCAATTCACAAGCACTGCGACCTTTGTGAACTCTCTTGTTAAATATCAAAATCACGAATACGTATAATTTGTATCTGTACAAAGTAATTTAAATCAGTATTTTGAAATGCTTCTTCTTGATGAAAAGGATGAATTCCGTAGGACACGGAGGGACGAAAGAACGCGAAAGAAAGTAGGAAATCGAGAACGGTCAGTAAAACGCGATCGCATAGATTGCTGATGGTTGCAAAGAAATCGTGCGTGATCGAATCGCTGGGCATGAAAATTTGATCTCTGTGTTTTGTTCCGTCGTTCTTATCGAGCCACCCTCCGGATGGACAAACGTCAATAAAGCAGCGCACGCGCTCTTGCTAGCCTGATACGATGTTCCTTTATACTCTATAGCAATAACTCGTTCACGTCCCGTTTACCCGGTTAAATTTATTTATCTATGTCTAGAGAAACGGATATTCGCTTATTTATTTCTTTATATACTTGGATGAATTATCCACTGACTAGTACATTCAAGAGAATATGCATTGTAATATGTAAACATTTTATTTATAACCATTTGCATTTCTGATGTCGACTTGGGGTTGGTGCTGATGGTGATTTTGAAATTTTATTTCATATCTGAATACATATATCAGTTTTCTCTGAAACAGCATTAACATGTAACAGGTCTTCCTCGGAAGTGCTCCTTTAAATGACTCTGCTTCGACTCAATAGAATCTGGACCTATCCTGATGATTTATTACTCTACATTTACGAAGACGTGGTGTTCTTTTTTTTTTTTCTAGTAAGCCATTGATATTATGCAACAGATAGTGTACAAGAACTCCACGACCTCGTCGCGGATCATTGAACCGAAGAATGAATTAATAATCAAGAGGCACATACGCTCCTTCCATGGAATTCAATTTCACTCTACTTTTCTCGTTCCAATTAACCCTTTGTGTACTATTACACTGCGGCGATTCCTTTCGAATTGTAAACGAACGGTAAATTAAAGTAATATTTATTTTTTCTTCTCTTCATTTGCTCACGTAGCGTGGCCGTTTCTTAACGCGATGATGATTCTTTCAGACGTTTGGGCGTTCGTTCTAATGTATAGCTAACATGCGCACAGGATGAAGTCACTCTTTAATGCACTTAACATTAATGAGAAACTCAAGTGGGTCGAATTGACCTCCATTTGTTAGTCCAACACCATCGACCAGTCTGCTTTCTGCTCTTTTTATTTCTGAGAATCGTCCCTGTGTATCATATTCCCTGTGAAAGAGAGACAGTCGTTTAATAGAGTGCAATTAAAATCATTAAAACAATATATTTTTTACGGTTCATTAAAGAACCGTAAAAGAAATAACAATTGTTATCACGTATTATGCCATCAGAATTGTTTACAAATCGGAGGAGGTGTGAGAAAGGCCCGTTCGTAAATGCATACGAAACTTCATTTCCTTAAAATAGACGTATTGTTGTATTGAAATGAGTTACAGTCTACTGGTTTATCTGTACACGGGTCCCGGAAACGCCTACCAGAGCCGAATGATTCACACGCTGAATTCCAGAAAACGAAGACACGCTAGATTAAATAATGTCCTTAGCAACGTGGAATCTTATCGTGTCTTTCACAGGCGTTTAACACGGTAATACACGTGGGAATCGTCGCGGCTACCTTAAAATTAAAGATCAGTAGTCCAGATAAAAATTGAATGGAACAATCCACTAGTTGTAGCAATCCGTTTCACAGGATATTTCAAAATTTTGTTGATTGTAAAACTTTTTTCTTGTTTGTTGCCAATATTGTAATAAAAGTTCGTTCTTTTCATTGTAGAATGTGGTGGACGATTACTGGCACGTTTGGTAACATATTACCAATAGATTGGAGCAAGTCTTATGCTAGGAAAATGCACATGCCTGCATTAAATTTGAACGAGGCGCCGGTCCCACACGAAAGGTAAATGTCTATCCAAAGTATAAGCAGTTATTTAGGTTTGATGCTTTTAATTTGGCAACACAAAATTTTCAAAAGTATTAAAAAAAAAACAGACGAGACAGAGCAAAGTGTCTGAAGAATATAATTGAATATTTGCAAATTGGGTGCTTTTATTTTGTTTGCAATAGACCTGAACTAGAGGATTTAAGTAGCGAAGACGAGGCTGTTGCAACTGATTTGGACATGCATGCTTTGATCTTATCCAGTAGCACTGATACACACAGTCCAGAGGAACCTCTAAAAACTGCTGAGGAAGTTCTCCGTGAAATAGATGATATAATGCAGGCAAGTAAAGTAGCCTTTTAAGCTAATAAATTGTGAAAATTTGTAGAAATTATTGATCATTATCGTGTAGGAAAGTCCTTCGATGGAAAGATCACCGGACTCTGATGGATCTTTGTTAGACAGCGATGAAGCACTGGAAAGAAGCAGAGAAGTTTTAGGCTCACCACTTCATGAGAAAAGTATAATTTTATGAACTCATAGGAAGCAGTAAATTGTCGTGTAATAGATTTCTTAATCTGAATTGTAACCGTCTGTTCTAGAATTAAAGCAACTTACCTCCAGTCAACTGACTGAATTGCTTGGAGAAATGGAATCCTTAGTGGGAGCTTTGAGCGAAACTCTAATCGCAGAGCTTGCGTTACGTGACGAATTAGAGTATGAAAAAGAACTAAAAAATCAGTTTATTTCTTTGCTGTTAGCAGTGCAAAACCGACGAAGGCAGCATCACGTTACAAAAAAGAGAAATCAAATGCAAAATGGTACTAGCCCTTTACCACAACATAGGTCCCTTCAAGAGTCTAAGGTAAAATACACAACAGGGAAATTAATAAATTTATAAACATGGGTTTAAAACTGTATAATCTTAATATTTATTTTAGTATTTGACTACTGTAATTCCGTATCATACAGACAGTGGTCCACCAGACAATCAGGCTTTACAGGTCCTTATAAAAAGTAAGTATCATTAAATAAATATCTGAATATAATTTAATATTAATTTATAATATTTTATTTTGCAGTATTAAAAGCAATTAGCGAAGATAGCCCAACTGTACCTACTTTGTTAACAGATTACATACTCAAAGGTAATTGAATCTTCTACTTACTGACATTTTTATAAAAGAGTTTCAAATGATGTTTAAGAGAATTAATTCTTTTTTTTCAGTTCTATGTCCTACTTAGTGAGTATATCGTAAATTTGACAAGGAGATCGATAAAAATCAGAAAGAAAAATATTACTTATTGGAGAATACAGTTTGCTTTGTTCTTGCCAGTACGCTTTCAGCCGTTGTTGTGCCGCATCTTCTTGCGTTAAGGCAAGTGATTTTGCTTATAAATTATGTCTCGGACTACACTCTGTATCGATTGTAGATTTATAAGTAGAGTCCATGACATACACATCTAGTCTTAGTTTATACATTATAACGTGTATATTATTTTACATATGATATATTTCTAATTATCTATATATACGCTCCTTGAAATACCTCTTGTCGTGTATGAATTATACAATCTTTCATTTTTGTATACATCATGAATTTCGTGACAATTCAGTTTTTTGTAATTTTTTGTACATAAAGATTTTATCGAAATATGTGAGCAAATTTACTATATATTACCGAAAATACTTATATTTATGTAGAAAAATATACCTGTTGTAGACTACTTCCTACCAAAAAGGAACATATAAAGCTTATAAATTTAGTATGTATTGTTGTAATGCCAATGTATCTAGAGTTACCTAGTAACGTGTCGCGCAAAATAAAAATATCTCGTTGCTCGTATCACATTCTTCGTAAATGTATACTTCACTTAAAATCTCTTTATCAACTAAGTACATAATAAGATGGCATTGAACACTTTGTGTATAGCCATGCAGTGATTCTGATGCATTGTGCTCGTATTAGAAACATTGTTTGTTGTAATAAAGAAATAAATTGAACAATCTTACTATTGAAAAATATTGTTCTCGTACGTAATTAATATAAACATTGTTTCATGTTAATTATCCTGTTATCTTTTTTCTGTGTATTTTCATTTGGAACATGAAGGAATGAAAGTAAAACAGAAAAACGGTGAATTTTCGAGTTGCCATATCTCAGTAACAAAGTCATGTCCTGTCTTGTTAGATCTGTGGCCATTGCTATATTGTTGTAAAATATTTTTGAAAATTTTAAGTATTTAAGTTAGCCAATATGAAATCCATCTCTATAAATTGGTCGCTTCGCGCTAAGACTTGCCAGTCTGTCTTCGGACGTCAAAGAGAAAGGAGGGTGTACGCCTATGCTCTTACCGTAGCGCCATCTATACAAAAACGGCTGAAACTACTCGACAACTTACCGACCGATTTTCCGAAACCGGGGAAGATTAGCGCCGCCTATCGGATAGCAGCGTAAGCTATTTGTCAGATAGCTTCTGCTGGATGGCGCTAGTGTTCCTCGTTTTGGAACATGAGTTGGTTAGGATCAGTGACTTCGGAGCCTTCTCAAATTGTGCGGTGAAAGTCTATTACGTGAGTGATTTATACTATAACCTTGTTTGATGTATAATTATGAGAACAATTATTTTCTCACATTTTACTCAAAATAAAAAGTGGGATATTTAATAAACAAAGTTTGGTTATTGAGGTATAATTAGTAACTAACAAACTTGCTTATTATTTCATTAAATATTACTTAACATTTTAACAGAAAATTTTATTTCCAAACAATTTTTGCAAAATAAATAGTACTGTAAACAAACTGCATTATTGTTAATTCATAAGTATTATCTTTTCACAGATGGCTTCACTTATAGATTTAACGAAAGTGGCTGCAGTTATAGGTGTGGTTGCTGGAAGTTTTGGTATTTTTTTTACAAAGAATTATGAATCAAAAATTCGTAACTCAATAACATATAAAAGGGCATTAGAAAAAGTTTATAATCATGAAAAGACAATTGAACATTTGGGAAAACCAGTAAAAGAAGGAAGAATAACAATTGGTAATAGCAAAGATAATGAGAATACCAGAAATTTTACTGTTAACTTGAAAGGATCAAATACCAAAGCAAAATTAAATTGCGAATTTATTATTAAAGAACCAAATAAAACAACTGAATTAACAAAATTAGAAATTAAATTTAATAATCTTCCCAACAAAATGTTTGTAATTCATGAAATTTAATTAATATCACAATGAAATATATTGTGGCTTTCTGTTTCTCTCTTATGTTTTTATGGTACTGTTTAAAGGTATACAAAAGTTTAATATTATATAAACTTCAGAAAAGAACAGACATGATGACTTAATGATATTTAATGTAGCCATAGATTACAAATAAAAGAGATTAATTCATCTAAATGTTTGTAAGGGCATATCAGTAATACCCTTTGGAACCTTGAGACCTCTTCTTGTGTAACCAAATGCAGCTTGAATAATATGAATAGCAGCTTCCACAGTTAAACTAACGTCTCGATCGTTACCGATATGAGGATTCACCTCTACAAGATCTACAGCATTTAGTCTATTAGTTCTATGTAGTTCTTCCATTAAATGAATAGCTTCTCTTAAAGACAATCCACCACGCACTAATATACACAAGTTGTAAATATATTGAAGAATTAGAGTAAAATTCAGAAATGAAAGATGGTACTTAATAAAAAAAATTCATTTACCAGGAGTTCCTGTACATGGTGCTTCCAATGGATCTAATGAATCAATATCAAAACTAACATGCAATGATTTTGATTCATTAGGATCTATTTTGTTTAATGCCATGTAAACAACATCATGAATACCTGGAATCCAAGTGTTAATTAATAGATAATCAATAGGTATTATAAAGAATTTATAATATTACCATATCTTTCGACATCTTCAATACCAAAAGCAGTTATACCAAATTTTTCAATAACTAATCTTTCATAAGAGTCTACAGACCTTAAACCAATATAAGCTACATTTCTAATAGATAGCCTGTAAGGAAATCATTTTAATCTTATTTAATATATTCTTCCACCTGTATTTTAGGTACATTAGGTTAAATATTTATAAAAATCACATTGGTTGTTGCCAATCCATGCCTGGCAGATGTGGCCAGTAATCAGCTAATTCAGATGTTAATAATGCTACAGGCATTCCATGAACATTCCCACTTTCACTAGTCTTGTTGGTATTAAGATCTGCATGAGCATCAACCCATATTACACCTACATCCTTCTTTTCCTTCAAAATACCATGTGGTAAGTAGTAATGTTCATTAAACTTCTTTTTCTTCAAGAAAGTTGTTAGCATCAAGTATTATATTTTTTCTTTTATACTGTACCTTAACATGACCATCTATAGTCCCAATACCTAAACTATGATCACCACCAAGTGTTAATACTCTACGACCTTCTTTTAAAACTTGTTGAATTTGTTCAGATAAACAACTTGTACAGCCAGCAACATCACTTAAATGTGACATGTTGTTTACACCCTCTACATTCTTTGCTTGATATAAAATGTCACCATAATCTTTCACATCCAAGCCTTCAGTTCAAAAATTTTGAACCATAGTTAAAAAAAATGTGGAGATAAAATTTAGTACACCATTCCTTTTAAAATATTTTGAATCAGTAAGATAAATTCTAATAATTACCTAAGTATTCTAGTTCTCGCACCAATCCGGCTGCCCTAATCACTTTTGGGCCATCCGCTACACCCTTTTTATGCTGCATTAATTAACAAATATAAAAAAATAACAAATAATTGTATTATTGCTCGTTATGATAGTACCTGTCCCTTTTCAAATGGTACACCAATTATTCCAACTTTGCCGTAATTACGGCTTCCAGATCTCCTAACGACACTTTGTATTTTCTTGAACACATTCATTTTGTAAAAGACGTTTCAGTTAAAGATTTAACACAACATACTGGTTATGCTGTGACCTATGCCCTCAGAATGTTGAAACAGATAACGCAGTAACAACGTATCTTTAAGATTATAAGAACGTTCAAGTTCTTTAAAATTAATATTGTTTAGAAACATTTATAACATTTTATATTTATTATCTTTGATAATCTTTTATTTTTCATCAGATAAACATCAAATTTTTATTGTAAATGATAAACAAATACTAAAAGTATGTTAAACATTCTGTTATGAATTCTAATATCGGCGGCAGTATAAATGTTACATCTGTTGACAGAAATTCATTTAATATTTTTTAATAAAAAAAAGTTTTAGTTCCCTAGCTTCTTTCTGCTATACTTATCATTTAATTAGGACCAATCATGTTTTCAGGTCTGACCCATTCATTAAATTGTTCTTCAGTTACGCCATTCTTAAGTGCACTTTCTTTCAATGTAAGATTTTCTTTGTGTGCTTGTTTTGCGATTGCAGCAGCCTAAAATAAAACGTATAGTTTCTATTATATTCAAAATTTACAGTAAAATAATTATCTTTCTGTGTATTACATCTGAAATTTGAATACCTTATCATAACCAATATGTAGATTTAATGCTGTGACAAGCATTAAACTATCATTTAGAAGTTTGTCAATTTTATCTTTATTTGGTTTAATGCCAACAACACAGTTCTTGGTAAATGAAGCGGCAGCATCGCCCAAAAGTCTTGCAGATCTTAATGTATTTGCGACGATCAGAGGTTTAAACACATTCAGTTCGAAATGACCATTGCTACCACCAACAGTTACAGCAACGTGATTGCCCATTACTTGAGAACAGACCATAGTTAATGCTTCACATTGTGTTGGATTAACTTTACCAGGCATTATTGAACTTCCTGGTTCATTTTCAGGGAGAGATAGTTCTCCTAAGCCACAACGAGGTCCACTTCCCAAAAATCGAATATCATTAGCAATCTATATCATAAAGGACAATCATGTTTAATTTAAAATTCGATGATTGGTTTTAATTGAATTTCATTTAAATATACCTTCATAAGTGATACTGCTACTGTATTAAGTGCACCATGCACTTCTACCATGGCATCATGTGTAGCTAAAGCTTCAAATTTATTGGGGGCTGTTTCAAAAGGTAAACCAGTAAGTTCTGCTATCTTTTTTGCTGCTTTCTCTGCAAAACCTTTTTTTGTATTCAGTCCTGTACCTACTGCAGTACCACCGAGAGCTAACTCATACAGTCGCGGAAGAGTATCATGCACTCTTTTCATGCCATTGCAAACTTGCATTGCATAACCTAAGTGTTAAAATTACTTTGATTAATATAGTAAAAATTATATTGTAATCGCACATTAAAAAAAGGTTAATATTGACCTGAAAATTCTTGCCCTAATGTCAAAGGCACAGCATCTTGAGTATGAGTTCTGCCAATTTTTATAATATCTTGCCATGCATCAGCTTTATCACTTAAAGCATTATACAATTTTTCTAATCCAGGAAGCAATACTTTCTTAATTTCTAAAGCAACTGCTATGTGCATAGCCGTTGGAAATGTGTCATTACTGCTTTGAGATTTATTTACATGATCATTTGGATGCACAGGTGTTTTTGATCCCAGTTCACCACCAAGCAATTCAATTGCACGATTTGAGATTACCTAAATGGAAATGATAAATTAATTAGAAAGTTTATTTAACTGAAATTTTGTACACATCATTACCTCATTAGTGTTCATATTGGTTTGTGTTCCAGAACCTGTTTGCCAAATTACTAATGGAAAATGATCATTGTAAAGCTTTCCAGATATAACATCATCTGCAGCCTTACTTATAGCATCTGCTATTTTTGGATCCAAACCATACTCTTTATTTACCTCTGCTACAGCTTTTTTTAATATGCCCATTGCAACAATAACTCCGTACTAAAGAAATAAAATAAATATAGTATAACAATGATATATCAGAATTATTTTTTTTTACAAGCAGTTTTTTTTCTCCAATTAACAGGTTAGTAAATAAAGTATCATGATTTCTTACAGGCATCCTTTCAAAGGTATCACCAATTGGAAAATTAATCATTGATCTCATTGTTTGTGCTCCATAATATTTGTCAGCAGGAACCTTTAGTTCTCCAAAAGTATCCTTTTCAATTCGAAATTCTTTATTTTTACCACCAGAATCTTTATCACTTTCCTATAATTATGATGTTAAATATTAGTAAGATATTAAAAATAGAATTATGAAACAAAAAAGTCAAGACTTTTATATACCATGATTAAAAAATTAATTGTATAACACAATTAAACATTTACAGCTTGGTAATAAATACTACTAACACTCTGAGCAGTGGAAATTGAAGGTCAGTCATTAAAGGCCATTTACTTATGATAAGATATATATGTGTGAGCAATATATCCATGTAACTTTTCAGAGATAGGTATTTATATATTCATAAAATCTCAAAGATTTCAATTTACAAAAAACAACACAAAGTTCATTATAAATTCAACTATAAGTGTGATATGAAAATGAACTGCTTTAGGATAAAATTGAATCTTAAAGACTTATCTACATTTTAAATATTATTAAATAAAATAATTAAAAGACAATTTATATTAATTTTAGATAAAAAATAAAGAAATTTTGCATACCATTTTTTTTTTAAATTCAGCTGCCGTACTCCCGTTTAAAAAATATTTTTCGTCTTATATAAATATGATCAATTTGATTATGTGTCAAACACATTCCATTGTTATATACTAGATGACGTAACGATAATTTTAAAATATACAGGTAAATATTATTTAAAGTGACATTATTTTTCGCATCAATTTTCATGAAAAGTATTTTAAGACCGGAATCTGTGATGATTATGTAAAAGCACGGTATAAATCAATTCGAAAATTATAAACTAGTGAAGTAAAATAAAAAAGCAGTAACGTGAATAGAATAATGTAAAGCTATTCGAAGGAATTTCAAAAAGTTGAAAATATATTTTACTCAAAATATTTGTACCTTACAGCCTTTGTAAACTGACGATGTACCAAACGATAGTTTTAGCGTTAAAAACGCTAATGGTTCCTTAAATTCTCGCAATCCATGACTGACAAGTGTACTTCTCAAAAGATTCGACGTCATTCTACTTATTTTCAGTGTTTATTTCTTTTACAAATATTCTGCAATTCGGAAAAGGGTGAAATTACAAAAAACAACCAACATCAAGTTTAGCAGACAGAAGCGGGTATAAGCAGACGAACTGCTTGAAAACTAGACCCAAAGTGTGTTGTACTTAGATTGATTCTAAGTAAGTGAACCAGTTGATTTTAATGCAACTTCAAATATATAGAAACTATGTATTAGAAGAATTAAGAATACGATTGGTCTACGTTTTCTCATAATTTACAATTAATTCCAATTAATCGTATAATATTACAGATAAAAGTACATACATATTTTGAATGTCACAACCCGTTTGTTTAATTGTTTATAACATTTACTACATGAATGTCTGAAAGGTAGAAAAATTTACATACTGGTATTCCAACTTTTTGATTGGATAGTGAATCGTGGTTTTTAAAATATGCACTTTCAAATTTACCTCAAAAACAAAATGTAAGAAATTTTTATCGTTTCAAATTCTTTTTCTCTTTCAATTATAAGTACAATGTTGTTCTGTGAATTATACAGTACGTACTGATAAAATGATATTATATACGGTATTTATTAACTAGCCCATTAACTTTCGTCGCCATTCTATTTATGTTATGTTTCCTGTGGTAATTTTACATGTAGTAGAGATTATAAAATTATAGCGTAATTTTGAAAAACAGCATATAAGCGGTAATTGATGACAAATTGATAAATTAATCTCGTATAGTTTCGTCTGAATCAGTTGGGTGTCAATTGGTACCGGTACTTCTGTTAGCAATTATTTAACGACAAAGCCACGCGGGCACATTTATTGAAATTTATTACTTCGCTATAATTATTAGAATTCAAATCTCATGTAAACAGCACACGGACTTTATCATGTCATTCGATTTAATGATCCTTATTATGTAATTTCTGTACGACACAATGCTATGCTCAAAAAATCGTGGATGAAACTTATTCGAAGTTATAGTACAAGTGGTGTCTTTCGAAAATGACTGACATTTCTTCACCGTCTACTTTTACGAGGTAAGTAAACCTGTATTGTATAGGACATCGTTTAGTTTCGCTATTTTATACATCTGTGAACGAAAATGTTTCTATGCACCTTGAAATCATTTTACAATCAGCATATTTTTAACTTTAATTTCATAGAAATCTTTTTCTTATCCTTAACCTAGAAACTTTAAAAGAGCCGGACATCATGGTCTCAGTTAATACAATTACCGAGACAATTCAAAATGATACTAATTATTTATGTCAGTCAATTGTATTTTCTGAACTTTGATGACGTATGTTTATAACTGTATTTCCTAATTAAAATGATAGTATAGGTCAAATGAATTGTCAGTGTTTAGAACTATTATAAATACAAACTGTTTCTATAGTTTGTATCATATTGAATCAGTTTTCAGCATTGTATTTAATATTTTATATATTATGACATTTTCTGAATATTCTTCAATATGATTATTAGCATTTATGTTAAATATAAAAATAAGATACCAAGAAGAGAAAGATGATATTTGTTAATTTGCAAATTAAATTCAGTATTAGAATTTTTGTTCACAACTCAGTCTTTGTGTAAAGAAGTCAGAAGATTTGAGTATAATTATTTTGGGCCAGAAAGAGTTGGTAAACAAAGTAAAAACAATTTCAAAAGTTTAAGGGCATTTATTGTAATTATATTTATTTCATTAATAGTAACATGTTATATTAATAAATTTTATAGATGGTACTTTACAAATTTGCAGAATAATCAATAATGTGTTGACTTTTATAAAATGTATTGCTAGAACCGGTTTTGTGATACTCAACAATATTTATTGTATACCTACATATGCAGTATGGATGACATTATTGTTCCCTGTAAAATTTTATCAACCACAAGTATATTGGCGGATCGAAGGGCTATTTTTCCATTGGTTACTAGCAATGGTTTCAATGTGGACTTGGTCTGCAGGCTATGATAGTAAGTAGTATACATATACATATATATAATATATAGATATATACATATACATTGTGTACATGTATAATGTATCTAAACAAAAAATATCAATAATGAATAACAAAAAATTTTAAATTTTATAGTAATAGAGCAAGGTGATGATATACAAAAAATTATTAGTGAAAGGACTTTAGTAATAGCAAATCATCAAAGTACTGGCGATGTTCCTATGCTAATGACAACTTTTAATGCAAAGCCAAATGTGTTACCTAATTTAATGTGGATTATGGATAGGATTTTCAAATTCACAAACTTTGGTATAGTTTCTGTTTTACATAAGGACTTCTTTATTGTATCTGTAAGTTAATATTTAGTTGACAAGTTAATGGTAAAGCTTAAAATGATATATATAAAATACAAGTGTCTTATTCTTCATGACTCTATTAGGGACGTAAAAAACGGGAGGAAAGTTTAAAGCAGTTAGAAAAACATTTGAAAGAGGCATATATTCCACTGAATAGAAAATGGATGGTTTTGTTCCCAGAAGGAGGTTTTTTATGTAAAAGAAGAGAAACCTCACAAAAGTATGCTAAAAAGAATAATCTGCCAATTCTAGAAAATGTTACTTTACCACGGGTAGGAGCAATGCAAACTATATTTGATACAGTTGGTCCATCACAAGAAAATAATAGTACAGAACAAGAGTTAAATAATAGACCAAGTAAAAAATTTTATCAAATTGCAGTTTAATGAATGATATCATATGTTGTCAAATGCTTATTGTGTATATACAATTTTTTATGTAGGTACAGCCATAGCTAAACCAACAATTAATTGGGTTCTTGATATAACAATAGCATATCCTCAGGGTAAACCAATTGACTTACCTACAATTATTACTGGTTCTAGACCACCATGTGAAACAGTTTTGTTTTATCGAATTTATCCTAGTTCAGTGGTAAGTTTAAAAATGTAAAATATTTGTTTATGTTTTATACAAAAATACTTTATTCCAATATCATTTTCAGGTTCCGCGAGAACCCGAATTATTGTCTAAATGGTTGTATGATAGGTGGGCTGAAAAAGAGACACTTTTGGATAATTTTTATAAGTATGGAACGTTTCTTGGTAAACAAGCATCTGCTAATGAAGGTTCCAAGATCCATCAGGATCCATTAAGATTCCTAGTCCTTCACTTATTTTTCATAACATCTAGTTATATACATTATAATATATTTACATATGTACTATCTTGCTTCTGGTAAAGCATTTTATGCTATCTAAGAAATCACATTCAAACATAAGTAAATTATAATTTAGTAAAGTAAAAATATTCCTGCCTTAAAAATTATTTTTGATGTTGACTAACAAAACTGATGAATGTATGAATTGTCAATTCCAGGTGAATGTTTATAATGTAATTATGTCACAGATAGTTGATTACAATCATTACTTTTAATGTTATGACTCATTTGATTACATATCTATTGTAGTAATGAAATGAACATAAATGAATAATAGAATTCTTTTTTTATTTTTTCATTAACAAAATTTATGATAAAAATTTCTTTAACCGTTTCTTCTAAACATATTATATTTCATGACATTTCATAACATTAATTTAAAATGCAGTTAGACAAATTTATTTGTGGCAATAGATATTTGCAAAAAGAGATTATATATTTTACTTAAATAAAGAGTAATCTAAGTTCATTTCAATCAAAAGAGCTGTTAAATATTAATGCTTGAGCAGTTTTAAAAGTGTAAAGATTTATAACATTTTAAATTATATGCTACTTCATCTTAGAAATTATTTAAAGATTTTGTAGAAAATTCATTGTACACAATACAGTTTAAAATTCATATTATCTATATAAATCAAGTGGTTTAACATTGTTGATTCAACTAGAGATATTTAATGCTACCAGTTGCATGATAGTTTTAAATGTGCTGCATTAATACAAACATTGTCCTTTCTATTTCTTCATTTATTATAAAATGTGAAAATGTGTTTACTTGACTATCTGTCTGGAGGACTTGGCAGCATTTCAGGGGATTCTCATAATGTCCTGCATGTGTGTTTTGTAATAAAATATCTTAAGTAGAATCTTCCAATGGAATTGCAAGAGGTAATGGAAAATTATTGCTGGTGTAAAAGCAGCGATGATAAATGCCATTTCAAAGAAATATCAATTTATTTGTGATAAATAATAGAAAAACAAATATTTTTCAATGCGAAGTCAATCATATAAATTTTTTAAATTACGAAGTAGATGTGAAACTTGATGCAAACTGTTCAAAAGTTTGCCAGAAATAAAGATAATATCTTACAAGATCTGTCAAAAGAAGTAAGATGTGTACTTCATTGCTAAATTTCAACCAGAAATAATATTGTTGTGTAAAAGAAGATAACGCGTCAACTGTGCCTTGTTCCTAAGGACAAACCTCAGTGTTAGTTGTATATAAGCATATGCATAATTTTCATAGTTAAATCAATGCCTACAATTAGTTTTTAAGATGCTCATATTACATCACTTTACAAATAAAATTTATAATTGCATCTATATAGTAATGATACAGTTATTAAAAATGTCCTCGATGCTGCCTATTTGGTTATTGTAAAGTAAAAACTACAAACCAAATCGAAAGCAATTTTTAGACTGATTAATTCAGAAGAAGAATTTAGCTAAAGCACATATGAAATGGACATTTGTTGCCATGAAATAGTTGTAGTAGTTAACTCTTTGTTGTAATTATTATTAATGAAACGCATTTCGAATACAATATGGATATCAATTCTATGATAAAGTGAAATGTAATTGTGAAACAATTTAATTGCGGTTAATGTTTATACAAAATAATAGATGTAAATATTGTCCACATATTTAAGAGTGTTAAATCTCTACAGTACATAACTGTATTAGAGCATAAATTTATATAGTTACATAAATTTTAGTATCATTTTATTTTTGAATTAATATAAAACTTATTTATATAAAGAACCTATGAAACATATGGACATTGTTTGAAATTCTTTGCATTTCTTTGCATTTAATATGAGAGAATAATAATTAAATGCTTGTAAAATATACAAGTCATGCAGATAAGATACATCCTTGCAGGAAGGACATTGAATTGAAAGGTTTATTTATGAGTTCTTTATGTTAGAAATACATTTTTATCTCTTAAGAAAGTAACAGAATGTCAATAACATTTAGTTTTATATTTTTATGTTTAAAAAATAATTTATATGAATGCATTGTAGCACAAGAGAATGCTTCTAGTCTTGACTGCAAATTTTAGAAACAGTAAAAACATGATTCTAAATGTATCATAAACTGTACTGTAAGGAATTATTAAGTTTCTAAATAAAATTTATATTTCGAATTATAAACATAGTTACATATTTAAAGTTATTCAGTTAAACATAAAGACATTAAAATATGAAGTGAAGCTTGACTCTATTGCTAATCAAAAATTGCAAATATAAATTAAGATTATGTTAATAATTGCGAATGACGTAAATACTAAACAATTTCATTTATTAGTAAGTGTATACGATAAAAATAATGTAACATCCAATTGCATAGTAACATATACTTTGTTATAAGGGCCAATATTTTTGAAGTGTTTAACTACATGTATTAGATTTAAAATATCATATGGTATAATAAAAATTGAAAAGTCAAATTTCATTAATAATAGGAAACAGTGTAACTAAAAACAAATGGTTGTATTTATTACAGTCAAATGTATTTATCACTTAAAATAGTTACTACATAAAACATTTGTTTTTATGTTGTAGGAAATATGAAACGTAATAGTAAAATTCGCAATATTTTGTACAATACATGTTTTGATAGGATATCAGTACAGTATATGTAAAGTTTAATGAAAGAACAAGGAAAAAGAACAATTTATTAGTATTAAAGTAAAAAACAATAAATTGGTTGTGCTTGGTTGTGCTTTAAATTCTCTCGTTTTTCTTAGATTATGTTATTCATATGCTTTTTTTGTTGTTGTAGTTAAAGAATATTATGTTTTCCTATTTAAAGCTATAACTATGCTGGATAGTAATATTGAATAATGATATTTTTAATATCAAAGTTCTATATAAAAGGTGCTTAGAAGCTTTCGGCAATCTTGTTTCAGATTTACATATTGCAAACAATTTTTTAAAAGCTATAAGAGTGTAATTAGAAGAATGCTGACCTATTTGATATAAGGAAGTTACATAATAATGTATTTTCTTTTTAATTACACAATTTTGTTATTTGTGTGAAATAAAGTTTATCACGAAGATAAACTAAATCATTTTTGTAAACCGAGACAAATATACTATATCTTATATTTCAGCGTGATTCCATATGTTTGTAAAATCATATTAAGCATCGATGGATATTAATATTCATGAATATTGTATAAAAATAAATGTAAAAGTAAGTTGGCGTAAATTCTCCAAATTTTAATGGAGAACACGTTGCTTGTATTTTTTTCTTATAACAATTTTAATAAAATTGTTGTTTTCAAATAACATAAGGGGTATTTCATGAATTATTGCTATCTTGAAATTCAATATAAAGTTCCAAGTTTAAATAATGCGTCGCGGCACGCGGATGCGACTGCGACCCCTGATGTCGGCCATAAAGTAATCCACAGGACTAATGTCAAAGGACATTATGGTATTCGGGGTGTCAGGGACCCCGAAACGCTGGTGGCTGCACGCTGATATAGCATCGTGGGGTGTCAGGGACCCCGAAGCACTGCCAACGGGTGCAGATCTACCTGCTAAACATACATATATCTAAATTTTATTTTCTGCGTTCATTTAATTTGCTGTATTTATCTTCTTCGCTTATTGAATAAACTCATCAGGAGGACGAACGTGTTGATTTTATTACTGCACCCTTTATATCTCTGATTCCACTATATCTCTGCACCTTTATATCACTGCATTCCTTACATTCCAGCAACCCTTACATCTCAGTATTCCTAACATCTCTGCATCTCTTGCATCTCTGCATTCTTATCATCCCTACATCCCTTACATCTCTGCTTCCTTTACATCTCTGCTTTCCTTACATCTCTGCTTCCCTTACATCCCTACATTCCTGACATCGCTTCATCCCTTACATCCCTACATTCCTCACATGTCTACATCCCTTCCATCTCTGCATTTCTCACATTCCTGCCTTCTTTATATCCCAACATCCCTTATATCCCTGCATCCCTTACATGCCTGTATCCTTTACATCCTCGTATCACTTATATTCCTGCATTCTATACATCCCAGTACCATCCGAGCTGAAATTTTTGCGACTATAATGCCTGCGAATTTATACAAATTTAGTTCCTTTTTTCGCCACCAGAGGGCGCTGATTCGACATCGAAATTTTAGTTCACATTTTTGCCGCCAGAGGGCCAAAAATTGAGCAAGGTTTAGTTCCTTTTTTCGAAACCAGATGGCGCTGATTCGACATCGAAATTTTAGTTCGCATTTTTCCCGCCAGAGGGCCAAAAATTAAGAATGGTTTAGTTCCTTTTTTCGAAACCAGATGGCGCTGATTCGACATCGAGATTTTAGTTCAAATTTTTGCCGCTAGGGGGCGCTATTTTTCGAAATTTTCACGAAATTCTAACTTACCTTTACTTACCATTACTCGAAGCAGTCTTTATAATATATTTATTATAAGGGATGCAGAGATGTAAAGAATGTAGGGATGAAAAGAATGTAGGGATGAAAGGAATGTAGGGATGAAAGGAATGTAGGGATGAGAAGATTGTAGGGATGAGAAGATTGTAGGGATGAAAAGAATGTTGGGATGAGAGGCTGTAGGAATGTAAGGAATGCTGGTATGGAAGGCATGCAGGAATGTAAGGGATACTGAGATGGCCTTGGCATATAATGAGGGATAAAATTATATAAATAACTCGAAAAGGTAAAATAAATGGGGTCTTCGGCTGAGACCCAGAAGAGGGATATAATCATAAATGTTATTCCCCTTCGATGAGGTTATTTAATAAGCAAAAAAAGATAAATGAATTAAATTAAATAAACTCTGGAAGAAAATTATACTGGTTGTGCCCCCTTCATACGGACCTGATACTATCCAGGGGTGTCAGGGACCCCGAGTATAATCCTGGGGTTCTCAGGAACCCCGAATGCCATCCCGGGGTTGTTAGGCACCCCGGATACCACCTTGGGGTTCTCAGGCACCCGAACGCCGTCTTGGGGTTCTCAGGCACCCGAATGCCATCCCGGGGTCTCAGGAACCCCGAATACTATCTTGGGGTTCTCAGGCACCCCGAATACTATCTTGGGGTTCTCAGGCACCCCGAGTACTATCTTGGGGTTCTCAGGCACCCGAACGCCACCCCGGGGTTCTCAGGAACCCCGAATATCGTCTTGGGGTGTCAGGAACCCCGGAGCAAGTAGCGAAATATAAGACCTAAAAACGAACAAATCATGAAACTTACTTGTTCGGAATAGTGATGGGTACGACCGGATCTAGCGAAATATAAGACCTAAAAACGAACAAATAGTGAAACTCACTTGTTCGAGGTAATGATGGGTACGACTGAATCTAGCGAAATATAAGACCTAAAAACGAACAAATCCTGAAACTCACTGCATCCGACAATAAAGCATCCGGGGTGCCAGGAACCCCGAAGCATCAGTGACTATCTCTGCATACTGACATATCATCCTGGGGTGTCAGGAACCCCGAAGCACCGGTGGCACTGTTTGCATATCGACATTTTGGCATCCGGGGTGTCAAGGACCCCAAAGCACCAGTGATGCTTTTTGTATACCGGTATTATGGCATTGGGGTATCAGGGACCCCGAAGCGCCGGTGGCTGCACACCGATATATCATCTTGGGGTATCTGGGACCCCGCGGAAGCAAAGTTTTATCCTGTATCTGTAGCCATTGAAATTAGCTAATAAGTTTTGGTTGTTTTTCTGTCAGTCGTGTTTATATTAGATTTATTTATTTAACTAGCCATTATTTTTTAAAGATGACGACGCTCAGACCTTTTACGTGCAATGATTTATTCAAGTTCAATAGTGTGTAAGTTTTAAAATATATGCATTTTAGGGAAAGACGATTTTCTTAACCTATGAATACAATGTTTACCGGCTTTGTTAATAATTTATTTTTTGTATAGGAATTTAGATCCCCTCACGGAGACGGTATCCTTTTATTCTTAGTTTCAATTATACATCTATCATTTGAATTCTATCAATCAAATATTTTTGACATATATTTCCTTTAATTTTTCGGTTTATTAGTATGGACTTTCTTTTTACACACATTACTTGGCACATTGGCCAGAATATTTTCAAGTGGCAGAATCACCAACTGGTGAAGTAATGGGTTACAGTAGGTTTATATTTTTATATTGTGTGGTATTCTGTTAAATGTAAACATAAAACTTACATTCTTTAAAATGTTTTAGTCATGGGAAAGGCGGAAGGGCAGGGAGAGAATTGGCATGGTCACATAACAGCACTTACAGTTTCACCTAATTATAGAAGATTGGGTTTAGCTGCAATGTTGATAAAATTCTTAGAGCAGGTATCAGAAAAGTAAGTTCTCTGAAGATGTATTTAAATAATGCAGCATTATATATTAATGTGTTTTATATTGTTGTAGGAAACAGGCATACTTTGTAGATCTGTTTGTAAGAGTTAGTAATAAAGTGGCAATTAAAATGTACCAACAGTTAGGATATATTGTATATAGAACTGTTCTAGAATATTATAGCGGGGATCCAGATGAAGATGCCTTTGGTACATAATTGAACATTGTTAATCAATAAAATCTTTTAATTTTTAAACTGATTTGTTTATTTTTATTTCAGATATGAGAAAAGCACTATCAAGAGACGTGAAGAAAAAATCAGTAATACCTTTAACTCATCCTGTAAGACCAGAGGAAGTGGATTAAAATGTACTTATGTATAAACACATTCTTATGGATGCAACATAAAATAAGCGATACGCTTTGCGATACATTCGAAGCTATAAGTATCATCATTATTGTGATTAAGTTTTTAATACTTCAATTGAATAAATAGTCTTTTAAAGTGCACATTCGAGCAGTTTATTTCTTTTTTTCCTGTACAATAGTACAATGTTTTCTGCTTACACCGCTCGTGCCTTTTACGCGTCGTTTTATGCGAATAAATAATAAATAGAAATGTAAGATGGTAGGCTTAGCAGAATATTCATAGACAGCTCGACGATCGCAGGAGACTTCTATGACAATTGTAATTTTTATTAGCTGCCCTCTTCTCATTCTACTATACTTAGAAACTTAAGCCTACAGTAATATTTACAGATCAATGACTCTTTCTTTTACTGCTTCATAATACAAAGGTGCTAAGCACCTAAATAGTAGCATTTTCATTGCGTATTATAAAAATTAAAGACAAAATGTCGTTTTTGCATATCTTTGTACTGCTCCCAGTGTGATCTGAGGTTCGATCGTTTTCTTTTTTTTATATAAATCTTCAATGCGCTAAACAAAGCCGTGCATAGAATAACTTTGTCTATACTGCTCAGAGAGGCACAATCATACTCAGCCTATTTCAGGAATTACAAAATTATAGAAGTCTTGTACGTATTGCACGAAAGCCCTACCCTTAACTTTTATTTACTTCTGGGTACTAAAGAGAAGGAAGACATTTGCTAGTTATGTAGGACACGTCAAGCGAGTACAAAACTTCTATACATATGACGGGATCATCTTTTAATTAGTACAAAAACGCTGCACATCTATTATCCAGGAACGATACTAAGTGTTAAAGAAAACGCGTTCCCATTATATCTATTTGGTCGTGTCCTTATATAAAACAAACTTATTTGCTTAAATATTAAATAAATATAAAATATGAGACTAGCCGTTATCAAAATAATATGATAATATGTAAGTTTTGTTCGTTACTTTCCGTATAAAGAATCTTTTGTTTTTTTACGATTGAGCTTTAAAAGAGACTTAAATGCTGTTTGTACTTACTGTTCAACATTGATGGGGCACGATTTGAAATGATAAAACAACTGACACGTAAAACATAATTAATTAATTGAAAACGATTTCTGACAAGAACACCAGAGAACTATCAAAACTGTCTTTTCAACTTCCAACAGTAAGTACAGTACAGTTATTGTGTCCGACGCATTTTGTATTTAAAGGAAACGTTTAAAAAATTGCATACTTATTTTCAGTAGTAATAACGATCACGTGTGCATTGTTGTTCATAACTGCAATTTCTCATTGCAGCTCGTACATGGCTTGCGGTCGATTTGGCAAGAAGTAATAATTTCGTCATCATACTCTTATATCGAAGACAAAGGTATCATCGCTGCATCACTCACTAGACTTCTAAACATCCAATAACTTTGATTAATTATATACATAGTACGTGGTACGTCGCTTTTCTTTAGTTAACCTTACGCTAAACGTTTCGAATTTGGTATATAAATACGGTAGCAAAAAGTTTCAGCACGATTGCTTAGCTTTTCCATGAAACTCTATTCGATGTGATTCAGACATACTAATTTTACTGTAGGCAGTGTTGCAGATCGTTTCAATTTACTTCAGTCACCCACGTTTTAATCCGCGTAACGTGGACTACACAGAGTTTCAATGCTGTCAGGTATGTACATAAACTTTCTTCGTAAGCATCAATTCTAATTTACACAAAAATGCAACTAAAATCAACTACAGCGCATTAGGTTACTGCGCATCGTCCAGTGTATCGTTTTTATGCCGGCTTTTATAGTACAGCTTGGTAGTACCTTTGAATATAAATTTAGTGCCTTGGCAGAATTAAACTTCCACAAAACCAAGAGCCACATATTCCCCTGCTTCTTTCTTTTTATTTTGCACCAGTCTTTTTAAGGTCTTTGGTGGTCTGGTGTCGACTTTAAGATATCCGGTTGTGTTGGAAGACAGCTTGAACCTGATACAATGATTAAGAATAAGAAGAATGACGCGTTAAATAGAAAAGTATATGTTTCTACAAACCAGTGGTAGGTCTTAGAGTCGATTTGATAGATCTGTGAGATCCATTGCGCGTTAACGTGTTCATTTGTGGAGTACCGGGTAAAGCGTGTCCCAAGGCGTTCATGTAGTCGGCGATCAATAAAGTTATTTCCAGAATCTATCAAAATACGAACAAATTAGAAGCTTACTTTTATATATGTGTTTTTAATAAGTCAGTATTATAGCGTGATATACCTTGGGCTTTGAAAGTGCAAACAGCAGCTTCTGTTCTGCAGCACCTTCGTCAGGGCAAGCAACAAGCATAAAATCATCCAAACACCCTCCAAACGTGACTATATTTGCATAGTTGTAACGACACATCACCGCCATTGTTTGTAACTCTAGTAATGTTACACTGTCCTCAGAAACAGCTATCCAAACAGTTATTGGTTCAGCTTGTTTCAACTATAATATATAACAAATATCCGCATTATTAAATCTGTATATACATTGTTTCTTAACGATACAACAGTTTCTTGTTATTGACCTTTGCTTGATAAAGTGTAGCTCCAAAGAAAGGCCACTTTCTGGTGCAAGTTAGATATATGCGAACACAGTCTAATACACTGCGACCTTTTAAGGCGATCCACTTTTCTTGCAGTTTCTCTTGCATTTCCCTGCAACGATAAAAACCGAATTCTTACTTCTCTAAGATCATCGATATTTGCATTTTGGTTTACGCGATACTTACCTCAATTGTTCGGCATTGATGTTTGTCCTGTATCGTACAGGATAAAATTTGTCTAGGGCTTGAAGAACGAGGTGATGGGGATTACTTCCTGGCCCACTTCCTCGCGCTTTGTCATTATTGTACTCTCCAAAATCGATCTGTGCCATTAACGATGCAAGCTCAAATGCAAGGTCTCTGTTTACTGGAAATTTTCCTTGTACCACCTGTTGATTAACTTGGTAACACAGAAGCAGTCTCTCTCTGTCAGTTTCCATTTTGGCTGCCTGTCTCCAATAACATCTTGATTTATACGTCAATTGAATCACTCTAGTATTTTCAAACTTTCCTGAGCCCTTTTCTCTCAAAGCAGTTTCCCATTTTGAAATTATATCGCACAGCTGGAATAAATAACAACCAATTTATTGGGATATTTCAACAATTAGGAAACTTTAATAAGATACATACTTTTGCTTGAAGATCAATGAAATGTTCAAGATCCTTTTCAATCGGATCATCGCTAAACAACGTGAAACCAGACTGATGCACGTCTCGACAACCAATTTCCTGGTTCAGAGTATTTAAAAATTCCTCTATCGTAGTACTACCGTCGAAGCTTACAACCTGGTATGTGCCATTTAAGAAGTGAACTGGTATCGCATGGGGTAAGGAGTGATGGTAAGGATTCTTCATTAGTATAGACAGAACCTCCATCCTAGATGGTTTTACTTCTCTTCCACCATTCTGGAGCGTTCTTTCCAACGCTCTTTCACAGTAGGCTGCATATTTACCACATTCCGTTCTAGAGAAAACGTTTGGTAAATTGACATAATAATTGTAATTGAGAATATAGAAACAAAGGCACTCACTTGGTGTCTGCGTTTCGTTGCAGATGTAACTTCAGGTACCATAGTAACCGATTATTCCTCGGCAGGAAAAGTGAAACAGCGAGTGCGAGCAGCTGCCATCCCTGGATAAGAACGTACTGGGCGGGATTAGTTTTGCAGTCCAGAATCGTAGAGGTCGAATGGCCCTGCATGAGCGGAGGACTGTGAGAAGTGGAGGCCGTCGATTGTGCGTCCGCATTTTCACCGCTGCCATTTGCCGCGGGACTTTGCGTATCGCAGGTGAACAGCGATTGCGTGGCGCAGAGGAGGAGCTGCTGCAATGGTATGCTGGCATACTACTATATTCCTGGACTGAACCAGACCTAATTCTACTACTTTCTTCTTTTTTTTTTTTCTTTTTCATTTTCTTTTCCAATAGTTATCGCGCTCCATCTTTATCGTATCCTTCCTTTATTTATTCTTTTTAATATTTATCTCAAAGAATCATAATAGACCTTGATAGTTCACATAGAAATTTAATTAATAAATGACTGATTTGAAATATATTCGAGGAATAATATATATATATATGTGTGTGTGTTAAACTTTAAGCATCTTTGGTCGATGGAACACTCGAATCATTACACGTCATATGACTGTTAGTATCATAAAGCAATTGAAATCGGTCTAATTAACGCATAACTCTATGTATGTTAATCACAATAAAACGCATGGATCGTCAATAATAAAAAAAGTAAAAAAAAAAAATTTGAATGAATTAAGAGAAATGTGGATGAGAGAAGCGCTTCTGTTGCTTTTTTATCTTTCTTTGTATAGGCCATGTGAGTCTACCTTACAGCTCGAAAGCATATTTATTCGAATTTATTATTTATGTCATATTATTCATATTATTATTATGTATCCAACAGAATGGCACACAGCTTTCGAACTTTCTTGGTGATTGCATTCTACGACAGGACACGTTCGAATCTGTAAGGAGCATCTATAGCTGTTTCTTATTTCCTTAAATAACCGTCTATGACCGGATTATAACCAAGGACTAATTCGTCTAAGCAGCATTCAAAAAACAGAGTATAATAATATATATATGTATATATATATATATATATATTGTAATGAGCTATATCGAGCAAAAAAATGTACGTAACAGAAAACAAAAAATCAATCTCGTAAAAAGATGTTTTTCTGTGTGTGGTTTCTTATGTACACCAACATACCATTCTGCAAGTGTGTGTGCCGCAGAACGTATTTTGACAAGACTACTTGAGTAACGAATCAGATCAATTGGATGATTTAATGCGTTTACGAATATGAGATCGAATGAATCGAAAAACAAAAAAAAAAAGATAATGAAAAGATTTCTTGATTTTCTAATGAAAAGGAATGAATTGTCGAAATATGTTCGGCTCACATGATCAGGGTATCAGGGTACAGGTGATCAGGGTATCATGTATAAATATCAAAATACACAATAAAATTAAACAAACTCAAAACACGACGATGTCTAAAAAAAAAAAAAAAATTAACAGAGAATTGAATAAAACGCATGCGAATGTAGAGTAGCCTAGGTATAGCACACGTAAAGCAGCAAATGAAAATGAAATGTGAATGAATGTTAAAACTAAAATCTTTTCTTGTTAAAGAGACTTCGTCAAGTATTATTGGTTTGGTAAACAAACGACAGCTTGTATTGTATTAATATTAGTTAGACGTCATAAAAAGAAGGAACAACAAATAAAAAAGGAAAAGACAAACAGTTCACCGCTACATTGATTGGATTATTTCATATATAATACTTGACTAAGCGTACCCAGTGTACCATTTCTTAAACGTGGAAGCAACAAATTAGTGAAACATGTTCAAAATTTACTTCTTTTATCTTGCTGCTGGTTCGATAATTTTGTGGTTTCTTTTTCAACCGATAAGTAAAATATTTATTACTAAAAATTGAACAGCAAACGATTGATTAGCTGCAAAAATGGTACCAGGGTTCAGAGTGTTTGTTAAACAATAAGCAGGACTTACAACGCGCGCAGTACCCAGCGACACAAGTCTGGCGGCCTTTTTTACCTGTACGCCCAAACGGTGTTGCGTGTGACGACTTGTCTGCTTTACCAGTGCGCATATGAATTCAGATTGTAGTTCAGGCTGGTCTAAGCATTGTTGTAACGCATTTTGCGCTAGTACCACATGATAGTCTATGCCTGCTTGCTCCACTGCCACCGACATGAACAACTGGCAAGCCTGTCCACAGAAAAATATATTCTTTTCTTCAGTTCTGTTTTCCTTAAGAAATTTCATTAACGCGTTCAACACGAAAAGTGTATCAATGTATTAACCTTGAAAAGCTTGATGGCCTCGGTCTGCAAGGCTTCGGATGTCAAGCTGGTCAGTGGACTAGTGATATTTTCTTTCGTGTGGAGCAGCAATGGGTGTCTCCAGAGGACACAGCTAGGATCTCCGTCAGTTTCCATCAATCTTTGAACCAGCTGTTCGTACTGAGTCCCCGCGCTAGGTCCTCCACCGGAAACGACCGTCAAATGATACAGCCAATTGTCTTTTTCCTGTTTGTGAGGCATCAACAAATACGTAGGACCTTGATGAGTTGGAAAGATGCCGATCGTCCTTTCGTGAGGACACTCGGCGTCCCTTTCCTCGCTGTCGCTGTCGGATACATGCTCTACCTCTTCCACTCTCGCGTCTCTCATGTTTATTTGTCCAATAGGATTCTATAGAAATATGCAGGAAGGTTTCATGAAAGATTATTCATTTTCTGCAGTCACTATTATGGCACTGTAAGTCGAAGGACTTACCGTATCGTTAGGGCACTTAAAGTAAAGGAACATTTTTCCGATGAGGACGCACCAGCACTTCTTAGCATGCCCGTTCTTCACCTTTGTCAACCAGCCTTGTATCGTCGGTTTATTATCCTCTTTGCTGAGCAAAAGCTTCGTCGCGTTCCGCCTCTGTACGTTCTGGAGAACTCTTATCCAGTCTTCCATCGTCGCTATACAGTCCGCTGTTAAATAATACGTTTTCTTGCCTGTTGCTATCTCGAACGTAGCCGCGCCTTCTGCCCTGTTTATCCTATTAGAAAACGCCACCCTTCGTTGTTTATGACGTTATTCCGTTTAATACTTACATCTCTAAATGGAGTTAACGATAGAAAGATTACCTGCACACTTCGTCCAACACGATTTGCCCTTGCGGTTTCCGATTCACATCGTTCTGACTCTTCCAATAGGTGAGAACTCCGTTCTTCAACACGAACCACCTTTTCCTCCACGTTTTCAGTTTGCCACCAAGTTTCGCGAGGTGGCCAGTCTTTTCTAGAGATTCTTGGCGTTTTGGACTCTCGCCAGAGACACGCATCAGCAAGCTAGGCATACTAGATTCGAGGGAGGTTGAGCTAAGGGCGTCAGGAGGTATCGCGTAGTCTTCCGACAGACCAGATTCCAACGAGGTATCTGCGGGAGTGAAATAATTTCAAAGTTGCCGATTGAAAAAATTTATAAGTTTAAGTTCTCGACGACGTTTGAAAAGCGTACCACGTTTCACACTTTTACTGGGAGAACCGCTGGAACTTCTCTTCGCTGGACTAAGACTGCTGGTGGTTTTCACGCTTTTCGATGGACTACTTCCGCTGCCAAGCGAGGAGTCCGTGTTATCCGAGGAACTATTGGTAATTCTCGTGTTGGTCTCTGTTTGATTCGGATGTTCTTCACCGTCTGAACTATCGTCAGAACTGTCGCCAAAGGGCATGGACCTGATTTGACTGGCTCGTCCTGGGGATACATTGTTACTTGCGATATTATAAATCAGTATCTGGAATTTATCTAAAAGTAGTCCTCAAGGAAAAAGACTCGTACCCTTGACCGTTGCGTACACTGGAACCGAAATATCGCAGTAGCCTTGGGAATTGTGCGCAGTCAAGTTGTGTCCTGTTGCTTGGGAATGTTTCGACGAGCTTGTCGTGTTGGTCATCGTGGAAGGCGCGGATTCCTCGTTTGTCGGTGGACCAATGCCAAGCCCGCCGTCTGCTACCTACAATATCACAGAATCCTCCTTTTTATTTTATTACAAATCGCAACAACTTGAAAAACGTCTCCTCCGTGTGCACTCGATTCGACGCCTCGTTCGTTACGTTTCGATGTGCAACAGCTAAAATACCTGATAAATCTTTGCCTCCCAACTGGGAAATCGGTGTAAGGGCGGGGTGGGTGGTCGAGGAGCCTGTGCATTCTGAGCCCAATTCATCCCTTCCCTGCTAGGCGTGTAGATCTCCGCGTAATCGTGTATAGCTTCCGAGCTTCCGCTATCTCTGCTCGTTTCCGAGACACCTGGTATGTTTGGCAACATCACCAGATTCTCCACCGCCGCCGCGAGCTCTTCAGACAGTAGGCTAGAGCAGAAAAAGAATGGCAAGCATAAAACAGGGAACTAATTAACCCTTTCGCTACGGTGGAGTTGGTTAACAAGCACCAATGCTATAATGCTATGCACTCGTCTAGATACATGGGTACAGTCACGTGTAGTTTAGACTTCTGTTAATTAAGAGGAAGCGCGAGGGAAGGAGAGTATCGCACCCCTCGCGTTACGCTCCCGAGGTTCTCCCAAAACTACAGGCAAGTGATAGGAGAATTCTCCCCCTGTACTTACTCTTAATCAAGAGAGAAGCCTATATTGCACTCGAATGTATATTCAAATCAATAAGAGAATTAACGAAAGAATGTAAAGAAAAAGAAAAGAGATCATGTATAGTGCTGAAAATTTAGAGGTAACAGAGTATACGGGTTGAGAGATCCCCGCAGGAAGTCTCAGGACGTTACAGGGTACCACAGTTTCGAGAGTCGGGCGCCGCTATCACGTCGTGAGACCTCCCAAGGAGAATCGAAACACGTTTACAACGACGTTTATTACAATACAGGCTCTGATGGACGACGCTAGGTGGCTAATAGAAAAGCGGAAGGAAGCGAGCATTACAAGGCAAGAAACGCATTTTGAAGCTAAGGTAGAAAGTTATTCTACCTTGAATCCATGTTGGTGGTAGCGATTCCTCGTTGTATGGTCCCACAAGCGGACAGGTGTCTCCGGTGTTTCGTGCCTGCTTGTGGCTCCGCTACGGCACTTTGCACGCTTTCCGGTACCGCCTGTGGTGTTCCCTCTAGGCTCTCCGATCGTCTGCGTAACGTTGAGTCTACTTCCAGGGACAAGGAGGTTCTCGTGGGTGCCTGAAACGAAACGATTAGTAATGGCCTCGTGAAACGGAAGTGCTGGTTAACGCGACTCACAGGTGGTTTCAGGCCGATATTTGTTATATGATTTCTCAATAGCTCCAATTGTTGATTGCATTTGTTGTTCTGCTCCCTCAAGTGTTGATTCTGTTGCTCCAATTCCCTTAGTTTATTGGTCACCCATTCCTTAATCCTCGCGGCTTTTGCCTCTACCTGCCTCGCGTCTTGAAGCCGCAACTGTCTCTGCAAGTATTGCGCAAATGCACTTGAGAATCGTCGCTTTATCTTGATTTCACTCGACGAATCGTTTTATCGCATTTTTCGTGATCTGACGCGTCATAGATACAACGGTATAAGAGTTCTTAGAAACTGAAAGACAGGATGATTCTTGTCAGTATTTATTTGCGCGCGAACTGATTCAGACGCGAAAGATTCAATTTTTTTTAGAAATTTTCACGAAAGTTCGTTTAATATAATGTAAGGTGAATAACAAAGTTGAAACAAATCAATTTTGTTACCTGTTCCTCTACCTGTGTCTCTAGCTTCGAGATGCAAGCACAATGAACGTCCTCGATCTTGTCATTCTGCGTACCGGAAGTTGACGGCAGCGAATGCGGTGGAGAGCCAACGCCGGATGTGCTCAAGCAGTATTCACCCTTCACTAGCCGCTCCTCCATCATCCGTACCTACATCAATATCAAATGGAAATTTCTGATCGTATAATCTGTATTAACCCTTGTTTATTTAATAATCCTTCATAGTTCATTATTATATTTGATGCAATATGCACAAAATTGATATGCAATTCCCTAATGAATCCAACTGCGTTCTGTCGTGTATAAAATGATCACGTAATGAAATTACGATTGAAAATTGAAACTCAACAAGGTGTGTATGTTGATTTTAGTTCAATTTGTCCATGATCGAAGAAGCATGGCAGTTGTGGGACGCGTGGGATCGTCGAGTAAACAGCGTAACAGGGTGGGAGAGCAGAGGGTGAGATTTGCGTGTAGACCTGGTGCACCCCTTTTTCTGACACGCTGCTGGTTAGGAACGTTTCACAGCAGCTGTCAAAAATCGATATCGTGTTCACGTGAAGCACGGGATATACGTAGGCATACTGAACGTCCAGCAGGCACTAGGGGAGAGAACGGTGTATCGAGAAAATCAATACACCAGGGGGGAAAATTCTTTGGACAAATGTGTTTTCCATCCTTCGTGTACGTACATGTGCTTTCATAGTGTTTTATCGATCACTCGCTACATTTTCACGTTCATTGTCGTCGTTTATCAGGAGTCAAAGACCGCGTGGATTATTCTGGTTTCTTTCCTTTCCTTTTTTTTTTTTTTTTTTTTCAACCAATCGATGCATAATGAACAGTTGAGTATTTTGGCAAGACGAAGCACCTTTTTCGTGTACACCACGTTTCACCATGGAATCACCGCAAATCACACGGAACCACGTGCAGCAACCCTTACGAAGCACAAGAGATGAAAAATAAGAACACGTCTACCTAACCCAATTCCAATCTTCATGAAAAAAAGAAACAGTGAAACGAAACTTGAAATAATACACACACACACACAATTGAGACGATTCTTACCAAGATTTCGAGTGGCCATGATAGCCGATCTGTAGTTAATCAGAATCATCCGAGGACCTCTTTCAAACCCTTCCCTTTGTTCTTGTCGAGGGTTCTTCCTCGATTCTCGAGGACACTCCCAAGGTAGGAAGCACGATTTCTCTCGTTTTATATAATCGAAACGATTTAGCGTCTCTTCCAGGGGACAACGAGAAGAGACACAATTTAAAAAAAGGGGGTTGTGCACGATGTAGTTGATCGAACCGAACTGAACTGAACTGAACGGAACGGAACCGATCCACCTAAAACACTCTTGCTATGGGCTTTCCAACAGCCGATGAGTCACGTTTGGCTCGTGGCCAATGGGAGAATTCGTAGAGGTCCTCCTCGTGTCCATGTACGCCACCCTGAAGCAAACACGCTGCCACTATGACAGCAGCAGACATCTTCATGAACTTTACTACTATCCTTTATGGAAATCACTAATGATTTCGAAGATTCAATGAGATAGGAAATGGACAATGATGAAAAGGACGAAGACGATGATGGTAGGGAGAGCAGTTTGGTTGGAGGACCACGTCTCTTCTTGAGATTTATCGATCTGTTTCTCTGCTTGTATCCCGTAAGCTTGCGCTCGTCGCCGCCACGCGGAACGACATATTGTCAGAGGAAGAATTTGTAGGTGTCCCCAAGAGATGATAATAATTTCGATTGGTACCAGAATCAAAATTGTAGGGGCGATAATCTTGATTATTTCAATATTTTTTATCTATGTACTATCCTTGCAAGAAGAAGAGACAGGGAATAAAAGCTCAAATTGTATCGGTAATACTTGGCAGACGTTTTCTGTTTAAAGACAACGACCCCGGCGACGAGTTCATCATTCGATCGAACGTCTGGCGACTTTTGCAGACGTTCGAATCCTATCTGAAGATTTATCGATTCGTCTCGTGTCTCTTGGGAGCGCAGGTCCGAAAGCAAAATACCGAGAATCCAGAAATAGCATCCAGCTAGAATAATTTAAATCCTCCGTTTTACGGATTCCAGGCTTCCCCACGAGAACAGGATTTTGCACGAGCAACCGTTATCGAAACAATTATTCGCGAATGGTAAATTTTTCACTGACAAAATATTGGCCTGATTTGTCGTTGAGAGAACAAACCGTGACGAATGGGATGTAGCGAAAAGAGAACTAAGGGGTTTACAAACGAAAAGAGAAGCCGGTTTCTTTTTTATCCTTTTAGGATGGTCCAAGCCACGTGTGCGCGTGCACGCGACAAAGCGGTGTCACCTCAACGTCGAATCGCGTTGGCTTCCCGCCAAAACCAGCCCGCTAATGTGCATGGAGAAATCTTCATTCAGACCCGTTCGTCAGGGGACAAAATCATGAAAAAATTTTGCACGCCCGTCAAAGGGTTGGCTAACTAAACGTTACAACAAGAGTTTCTAAGAAAAGTACTTTACAGAGGAGAAAAAGTAATAGCCGAGACAATGTCTCTGAACGTTTCTTTTTTAGAAGGGTCAGTTGAAAAGAATCGGCCGGCAAAGAGGATTTGTCGGAGCGACGAAAAGCGAATCCGGCGCCACGAACGCTTTGAAATATTTAAAGGAGCTCGGGGGAGTGGCGAAAAAGGAACGTCTGCGTTCACCTTTATTTCGTTTGCTGCGGGGATGCTCACGGGAAACGAGGATTACTCATGAATTGGCTGCACGCCAATTCTATACGCGACACGTCCCGTGAAAGCGAGTCGTTAAGTCGACCCGTGTCGCTAAATCGTCCTCTCTCCTCCCCTGCAATCTTACCTATTCCCGCCACACTTTCTTATCCTGCCTATCGACCATCTTGTCGATCTCTTTTCTCAATCGATACTTTTATCGTGATTCAATTACAAGGTATTTAACCAGACAAAATTCGATTATGAAGAAACCACCACTTTACACAAGAATGGAACGTTCCTTTCGAGAATTCAAAAAACTGGAGGTACACCCTATGCTTTATCTAACCCCCTGTGCTTTAATTAGGTAATCGGGTATCCACCTAATCACAGAATCGAGCAAAGAAGAGAATATCTTGTGTCCGATAGCGAGTTTACCTTTCATTGGTGTCACCTGGCGAGCTCCATAGTTTTCAAGACGGCGGTTGGTTTAGTCCTCGGTTTCGAGCGAACGTGTGTCCAGAACTGGCCGGTGAGAAATCGCGAGCAGAAGTGGACGAGAATCGGACGAAAGGATCGCGGACACTTTTTTGACCCGGGTTGTAAGCGCACGTGGTTCACGGACGTTAGACTCGTCGCTCGAATTTCGAGATCATAACAAAAAGGGTGCTCTTGCCGGCCGGTTGCACGGCCATATTGTCACCTTCTCTCTTTCTCCGATGCCCTCCTCCTCGTTGGTCTATCAGGATTTTCAGCTGGTCGTCTTTCTCCTATCCTCGTGGCTCGTCTTGCTCGCGGGGCCGAACGCAAAAATCAATGCGACGTAACATGCGCCCTGACACCCGACTATCCTCCACTACCGACCGAACTTTCCCTTATCAAAGCTTCTTTACTAGACGAGCCAACTTAAACCCTTCGCTCCTACCATGCACGTATATATACGTTCAAGAAAATGTTCCCCTCGCGCGACATCGCGTGCTCCACCGTCAATGTTAAACGATCCCAAATTTAGAAAACTCCTATTCAAAGGGTTGTTATACCAGAGTTAGAAGAAGGGTTGTTACGAAATATTGGAGAACACTAAAACAGGAGAATTTTAAATAGAACCAAATTGCCATCGGCAGGTTTCATCGACGTGTAAAGGAATTGAGTTTCAAGGGGAAAACCATGACAACACGCCTGGAAAAGCTTGCAAAATACAATTGCCTGCAGTTGGTACCGTCGTGGAAAATTTGAGTAACAGTCGGTAAAGATCGAATGAAAGGGAACGAAAGGAAACAACAAGTTTGGGGTAGAAAATCGATGAGAAACTCGGTGGAAAGCAAAGGGTGTTAGCTACCAGCTGCGGTGATCCTTGGAGGGTGATTCCCTCTGGTCGGTAACGCAGTATCGATTTTAATATGCAAATGTAACGTGTTTTTTTATTTTCTATATTAATATAATTTTGAAAAAGATATTCAGGTGTTTTGTTTTTCTCGACACACCCGGTACAGATAATCTAGCGAGTCGTTAAAGCTAGGAACATCGTTACTACTCGCTAAATTAATTATTTACCCTGGATGTCCTCAGGTCAGTTTGTCGGGAATTAACTGACGACACCGACGCGGCGGCGCGGCGTCTAGTTAATTGCGAATCGACGCGATCATTTACATCGAATCATGCAACGTTTTAATCACAGTTCGATCAACTGTGCGCGCTTTGACCACTCCTTGATTACTGGCCGAGAAATGCGAGGAAAGAAGGGGAATTCTATTACAAAAGGAGCGATAGTAATTTATTCTCACCTTGTCCTCCGCCTCGTCAGCTCGGCCCTCGGCTTCTAAGACCCGCTGCTCGAGCTCCGACAGCTGCAAACATAAAATAATATCATTTACAAAGTATTTTTGCAGAATAATTCATCCCTTAATCTCTGTTCCCACGTTTCACCCGAAAATCAAGACCCGTTCGTGTGTTATCTCGACAGCCAAACATCCAGCCATCGATCACTGCTGAACATTCATTGTCCAGAGACAATAACCGCTCATCGTTCATTGGAACGGTAGGATACACAGCAGCCACTGGATGTTTTGCGAAAATATGAAATATTCATAATTCAGCGTCAGCAGGCGAAGAATTCGCAAGCTGGAAGGGAGAGAAACTATCTCTCTCTCTCTCTCTTCCGCGTCATCTAATTTTCTTTCGAAAGAGGAAAAGTTTCATCAAACTTGCTTAAGTCCATAGGCAACGCGTAGATGCACGAGCGACGAGAGTTTAATGGATACCACAGACTTAAGCGGCTCTTCAAAGTCCGCTTGATCCTTCAAAGATTGATACGCGCCAGTCACGGACTGACACGATCGTATTTTCTCCAGTCATCCCGTGGGAGACACGTAAATTCCTGCCTAGAAGGAATTGATTTCTGTATGGTAACCTGAAGCCTGATATCCGTCACTCAATTTTCCCATATGCTTTACCGTCTGATTTATAATTAATAATCAAGTATGATATTAGGAGTTTGAAACACACCGAGGCTAACATGATTTCTTCGCGTAGAAGCGTCGTAAAATATCGCCCATGGCGTATCAATTTCAAGTTTCGATAGTAACTTTGACGATAGTAACTATATTAACGTTTTATCGATACCCTTAATACTAAATGGTCAAAGTTCCAACGGACTCGTGAACCGGTAGAAGAAACTATAATAGTTTCTCCCGGCTCATTTGTTAAGACGATGAAAAATTCATTGAAGAGAGTACAACACGTGACACACCGAGATCCGTGATTTAAGTCCTCGCGGAATTAGCTAGGTAGCCCCATTAAGGTGGCCAGAATCAGGCAAGCTCGTTGACTCTTTCCACCAGTAGAGAACCGGCTTAAAAGTATTCCGTGGTTGACCCGAGGGACAATATGAATTGCTCTTAAAGCCGAGCCACGACCCGTATATTAACCTCCGTTTTAATTAATCACCGAGCTCGCGCCCCGGCACGCCTCTATTTTCCGTCGTTTTTTCACCTAACCCTGCGAAACTTGCAAAATTTCCGTGTTATTCACCATCTTCCCTTAAAATTACCTCGTTCGCCGCACCCTTCTGGTCATTTCTGTGTTAAAAACTACTTGAAATATTTCCCCATCCTTATGAAACGAAAGACAAACAACCGCGAACATGAGAGTAGCACGAAGAAAGTGGGTGCAAAGTGGGTGTTGTCGTAGGAGGGATGTCGATCCTTCGTATCTCGAAGAGGGTCGGTTGCGTGACAATTTCATCCCTTTGCTCGGTGAAGATGGTTCATAGGAAAGAAAGGAAAGTCCAGGGTGGAAGAGAAGCCGCCGAACAGACAGGATAGAAGAGAAGGATCTCATCAGGAGGGTGCAGTTAGCAGCATCTGGCGTTGAGAGGGAGCGAAAAAAGGGAGGAAGGTAGAGGAGTAGAGGCGCGCGGATTTTCTCTGACGTTCAAGTCGCGGTTGGTGAAGAAAGAACGTCTGGAGGAAGGGTGGTTGAAGAAGGGGGTACATTAGCCGCAAACGGGATACCAGAAGAAGGATCTCTCAAACTGTCGTCAGTGCTTAAGCGTCTCCTCTTCTTCTTTCTTTTATCCATGCGATTCGGCAACGATGACAGCAGCCGGGCAATAAGGGCTTATGAAAATCGTGCCTCTTCTTTTTCCTAGCCTCCTCGTTTCACCAATGTCCCTTTTACCAACGGAAACATCCCCTTTTCGCTCCGTGAATATATCTCGACACCATGAATAAGCTAACCGGCCGGCCAACAGTTTCTCCTGAATCTTTCAACGAACGACAAGCCCGTTTCGGCAAAGATCAAACGACTGGTTAGCCGGTTTAAAGGAACGCTTTAAATGTTTCTTGCCAACTGACGTATGGGAGCAGAAAATCGTTCAAATAAATTTTGGAATGGAGAATTATATTCTATGTCGACCCTAGTCTTCCGCACGACACTCTTTCTTTCTCCCTTGCAATATCTTTTATCGAGTCAGGAGCTTCCAAATCCCGCAATACTTATCTTCCAACAGAAACATTACTTTCTGTAATAACACCTTTCTGACAACCTATTCTCGTTTAGATCCTGCGAAGAAGGTTGGCAAAGATATCGGGCTATCCTTTGTCAAGAACGAGCGCTAGGGTAGGTAACTGAAAAGAATACAGGAATACAGGAAACGACGCGACGGGTTCGCGTGACGATTTTCCCGAAGGAAACGAATTAACCGGACACGGACGAGCGTGTATCGCGCTTTCTTTTTCGCTCACGCGACAGGATCGAGCTGCCATAAATTCAGTGGAAACGCACAAAGAGAAACGAAACTCAAGAAGGCAGGATGCTTTATGTTTCGCGTCACGCGACCCACCGATAACATTAACGAACCAATCCCTGCCCACCCTATCCATTTCTCCCACAATTTCACCACCCTTCTTCAAACGCCACGGATTAAACTTATCGTCTCATTACATACACGGTGTCCGATATATATATATATATACATTTTTTTTTCTCTTGAAATTTATTCGCACGAGACTTTGCTTTCAACTTTGTACATTTGTCGAGTACGTACGTACACGCGCGATTCTATTAATTGTCCTTCTTTCTTTCTACCCCTCTGTTCACGCTACCTGTTCATTTTCATTGGAAAGCCACAGCTGGATGTTGTGTTACGCGGTCCCTTCTAGCCGGGTAAAACAGCTCGATAACGATCGACTTTTGCATTGCAAGTAACCTCGCCTTCTCATACACATGTATTATCGTCTGCTACAGCTTGGATTATTTTCGTACACGCGAGACATGGATCGTATCTGTTTTCAATCTACGATAAGACGCGGAGATACTAAAGGCCTATGCATTAAAATATCAAAGAAATAAAAAAAGGAATGGTGAAATTAAATAGAGTCGCTTTCCTTTCTTAGACGAACGATTAACACGAAGAAGAGTCTGAGGGTAAGATCTAAGTGGCTTTCATTGTGACAATTTCAACGATAATAACCGTAATAATGACAATGAGAGCGAGAAGAAATTTGGTCCGAAAGGGTTGGCAATTGGCAAGGAGCAAGGTGTACCCTCTACAACAGGTAGCATCAAGGGGTGGCTTTTTAGAAGGTTCAACGAAACACAGATTAAACGAAGAATAAATGTAATTCCCTTTACCCTCTTCTGAACCTGATTTCTTCAATTTTCTTTCAGGAAATTAAACCCTGAAACTCTGTAGAATGTACTTTCAGCGAGTAACGCTAAACGAAGCGTTTAAAACTGTTTAAAATTTCAAGCGAAGATACCGTCCGGAAGAATTTTATTAAACACTTCTTCCCTCGAAATCGTCGACGTATGTTTGAACATTTAAGAAAGTTGAATGGAAGATGAGGAGAGGATTAAAAGCAATTTTATCGTTGGTAACAGTTACCCGACATCGGTGAACTTTCCTTCTCGTTCAAGGAAAATTGTTCAAGTTTGGATTGGAGGTTGAATTAGATTTAAGTTTGAAAGTTCATCCGTAGGTAAGTTAGCACACGGGCAAAATACTCGAAAGCGACAATTTACTCTTTTCGGTCGTGGTTCGTAAAACCCCATGAAACTAGTTTTCCCCCTTGTTTTCCTAAATGTTTTCTTTCCTCGAGACCCACTTTGGATTTAGTGATTTATTTATGAAAATCCATCAGTGCCTCGAATCCATAAATAAAGCGCGACTCGAGCACGTTCATAAATCTTCTACGAGAGATTCGGAACAGTTCCAGCCACGATATTAATTAATAATATTAACGAGCGGAGTCTAAAGGCTAGAATCTAGGTCAACGGTGTGTCTCGTTGCTTGTAAGCGTAACCACGTAATTTTCTTTCCGACCATTTCACCCTTCCTCTCCCGAGGGAAACCTACCAGACCAGACCATCTTTCCAACCCTTTTCCGCTCGAAATAATTAATATACAAGGCACAGGAGAGAAATGATCCAAAGGCTGTGAGATTTTGGTCGAAGGCTTTTCGAGGGTCCACTAGAAGGCATCGGGTGCTAATGTACTTCCGTAAAGAGCTGCAACAACTACCACCCTGATGACCACGAATTTAATTTGATGAAATAATTACGATGAAATTTTTTTCTATTTCATTTAATTAAAATTTGCAATTGAAGAGAATGAAACGGAACGATTTCCTACAATTTTCGCGTGAAAATGATCGTGAACAGCGTGAAACGGGGCAGGCTATGCATGCGAAAATCGATAACTCGATTTTCAGTGCGGAGGATACGGTCGAGCCTGTTCGCGAATTAATTTCCGACGATGCAAATTTCATTAGCGGCCGCCGTTGTATTCGCGGTCGCCGGACAATGGCAAAGAGGACACGCGCTCTCGATGATATAATTCATTGCTCTCCTATCAACGATAGGAACGGTACGGATCGATCAATTATTCGAACCTAACGACCGATCACGATTAACCAATCCGGTTGACCTTTTTCGGTTTAATCAGCCGCAAAATCTGCGATTTTATATGCGACAACTTTATCAACGGCCCGGATCGTAACGAATTAAAATAAAATGTCTAAACGAAGGGAAGAAGTTTCAGGGTGTCTAAAAAGTAGCGTTGCATTGGAAATAATTGCACGGAGCCGCGTGTGGCATCCGAATGGAATTGCAATGGGAATTGGGCACGTAGGCGGTCGAGAGGCTGGGAAACGAGCGCGTACCATCGACCACGATGCAATAACAATAACGACGATCGTAGTAACAATCGCGAGGACGACGATGACGGCGTTACCGCGTTGATAATAAAGTCTCGTCCACGGGACAATCGAAGCTGGTAACAAGAGGAGGAGAAGTTGAATACCTACCTGTGATTTCGTCGCGCGGTTCTCGCGGCTCGTTTACCGAT